CATTCCAGGATTCTTGTCCCTTATCCGATTATCTCGGATTCCGATATCTTCGGAGGCAACCTCGGCCTAGCCGAAATGACCTCGGCACAACGACCAAGACACGTGGCACCTTGGCTGACACGTCGGCGTCACCTTGCCACGTGTTGGTACTTAGAAAATATATCCCCACATTAAGTTAATTCAAGCTATCTATATTTTTAAAGATAAATATATTTTAAACATGTAATTATGAATATCCGATCAATCTAATTTTTTACATGATTAATTTGTTCAAACTGCATAAAAAACTGAACAATTTGAATTAATAAAATGGACTTAAAATGAGTTCCGGACCAAACTGAACTCTCTATTACAAATGGACCGTCCATATCCAAAAAGTTTGATGTTGTTATGAGCCTACATAGGATATTCTCTTTCTATCTCTTTCATGACCTAAAGATCTAGGAAAATGATTGGTGGCCCTAAAAAATTTACCCCTAATGTCCCTAATTTCCATTTTTAGAAACTGTTTTCTTTTTTTCTTTCTTTTTTCCTTTTTTTTTTTTTTTTTTTTACCTAAAGTGGAAATTTCGGGGCATTCGAGCCCCGAAATTCGGGCCCTCAAGCAGCGCCGAAAGATCTAAGATAACGGTTGTATAAAAGAAAAACAAAAAAACCTCTTACATCACAATAATGAGATTAGTTATTATGGCTAAGCATGTAAATAAAATAAAAAAAACACTTTTGACCAAACCTTGCTGAACTAATGCATGTTATTGGCTATTGTATATGAAGCGTGTGAAGTTAGATTTGTATTTTTGTTCATTGAACTTAGAACAAAACTAAATAGGGATAATTAAAAAAAAAGAAAAGAAGTTTGACCGTTATAATAAAATAAATTTTTAATTTTTAATTTTATCAATTTAAATCTTAATTTTTTGATTTGTTTTCAATCTAAATTATTTGTCTATTTTTGTTGACTAAAACTGACGAAAAAATAATATTTTAGTCATTAAAATTGAAAACAAATAAAAAATTTAGGATTTAAATTGACAAAAATAAAAATTTAAGGATTAATTTGTTACAATGGTCAAACTCTATTTTTTTCTATTTTTTTTTTTTTTTGGTGGTAATTTTCCCACCTAAATAAAACAAGACAATTTTGATGAACTGTCACCAATTTGTTACTTCACTAAACAACAAAAAAATAAAAAAGATCCAAGTTTTATTAAATTTGTTAGAATGGAAAATTTCATAAATATCGAAATTGATTATAGAATTAGGTATAATTTTCATATGAATTTGGTACAATGTTCACAAGAGGGAGTCACATTTTTCTATGAATTTCATATTCAATTCTATTATTATTTTATTTTTGATTAGCATATTCAATTCTATTATTAGTGTCTATACATAATAAAAGGATTGGGTTTGACTTCCCTTCAAAATTTGGGTGGAGGTGTTGTCTGAACTTATGAAGTTCATCAGGAATCTCATTTCGATCTCTGCAAATCATTCATGAAAAATTTAGGACAATCTATTATACATTCATTTGTCTTTAAAAAATAAATAATTTTTTTAATATATATTTATCGTTTATTTTTTAAAAAACAAATTTAATAAAATAAAATAAATGATTCAAATAATTAAAATGTAACATGTGATAGGTCCACCGGCCCAAATAACGCATTCTATCCTATTTTGAAGAGGAGACAAACCTAATCTATAAAAGAACTAAAAAAATTATTTCAAAATTGGCCCATTTGTATTAGGCGCAATTGCAAGGAATTAAAAGTGTTTGCTTGCAAACTTGGTTAAATGGTTGACTCCCAGACGGCCAATTTCAGTTTTCAATTTGCAGTTGACTATTTTGCCCACCATGTTAATATTTTATCCAGGATTACGAATATCTTATAAAACAAATAAATTTATTGATTTTTTTATAATATATATAAATTTATTAAATTAATAATAATAATTTAATCATATTTATTTGAAAACTAAAAAAATCTACAATGTATTTAAACTTATTTTATCTATTTATCAAACTTATTTTAAATAAATTTTTATTAACTTAAATATAAGTCGAGGATGAGTAATTTAATTCATTTTACAATTTTAACCACAAGTATATCAATCCATTCAAAAGGAGTTGTAGCTATGCCCCAACCCCACATTGGTCTCTTGAAGCTAAATTATCAATAGGTCTTTATAGTTTGATTTAATTTCTATAAAGTTTTATTAAAAATAGGTTCTACTGAAATCGTTACTAAAAATGATTTTTTATGATAATTTTTATATATGTTGCTAAAAATTGACAATTAGTGACTTTCTTTTGCCACAGTTTTTTATAAATTGTCATTAAAATTTAAATTAGTGATTTTTTTTGTAATGAATTTTTCAAACTATCGTTAGACATTGAAAATTAATGATATATTTTTTTGTGACAATTTTTTTTAAACTGTCACTAAAACGTATAATTTTTTATGACAATTTTCAAACTGTTGTTGAAAATTAACAATTAATAACATTTTTAAATACTATTTGATGAAAAGCGTTATTAATTCTCACAATACCTATTAGATAATAAGTCCACGTATTAAGACCTACACATAAGTTCCTCTTCAATTTGAACAACTTGAGTAAAGGGTTTTGAGTTGTATTTTGAAAAATAAGTTGTTGAAAAGAGTTTTAAAAATTGAAAATTTATTTGATTATGAGTTTTGAAAATAAATTGAGATGATTTGTATTTTTTTTTTTTAATAGTTGAATAGAGGGGTGAGAAAAATTTTAATTGATTATTGTGTAAAATGGGACCCACACAATGTGGGTCCCATGTGGGTGCCCTACATTCATGTGAGACATTTGATAAAATTTTAGGGTCTTTAGCATTTTTTGTAAAAAAAGATAAAGAGATAGGAGAGAGAAAAAATAATTTTGAAAAGAATTTTGAAAATTTGTTAACCAAACATATTTTTTAATTTTTTGATGTAATTGTTAATTTAAAAACTAAACCATCTTTTGACAAGTAAATAACATTTGAGCCAAATTGAGCCTATTTTGTCTTATTTTAGTCTATTTTGTCTTCTTTTTTTTTTCATTATAAATTTTAGCCTAAAAAGTTAATTTTTAGCCTTTTCCAGACAAGGCCTATGTAATTCAAATCATCCAAAATTCGAATTGCACTTATAAATATACATATATATATATATCGATATTTAAATAATTTAAATTGTTACATTATATTAGTAGTGCTCAATAGATATATCGATCTGTCCAAATTAATCGAATCGAACTTATCGATTGCATTTTGAATGAATGCGTGATGATAATGGACGGATATTGATTGATTTTCTCTAATCCGTCTAACTTTGGACGGCTAACAAATTAGATGTTACCGGGTTGCAACCAAACTGTAAGCACGTCAACCAGATTCTATTTTTGAAATACTTGCCTACTATTCTATTACTTTTTATTCATTTATTTTTCTTTTTTAACCTATCCACAAATATAAATAAATGTACACCTGACTATGTATGTATATACTATCAGCTTTTTAAAATTTGGACAACTTCTCTCAAACAACTGCTTGCTAATCTTTTTTAGGTTTTCACAGTCATCGTCAAGATAGAGGTTTATTGGATTATTATCCATATTTGTAATCATTATTAATAAGACAAATTGGAAAAAAATATTTATGTCCATAGGTTTTATTATGTTAAAAATCTGTAAAATGTAAACTGTCAATCCGTTGAGAATTGATTTTCTTTAATCTATCTAATTTTAGACGAATGACCAATTAGAAATTCTTATGACGCAACGGAACTGCGAGAAGCCTTACATTATACTCAATATATATCATGAAAAAGGATCCTATTTGGCAATTTTGGAATTGGATAATGGCTGAAAGAATAATTTGCTGAGGCATCATATACACGTTATACAATACAAAATATTATTATTATTTATTTATTTAAAAATGATAAAGACTACCGCAATGGCTAATATTTCATTAATTTTGATTTTAAGGATTGGTTTGAGATGTTCTAAATAAGTGTATTTTTTAATTTTTTTATAAAATATAAGTTGAGTATGGGTTGAGTTTGAAATAATGTGGTAAAAAAGTGATGTGACTGAAATAAGATAATGTAACTTAAATTTGACCAAATTAAACTTGATTTGATATAAACTTCTCTAACTATGTTATCAAATTTTCATTAAAATCTTTTAAAAAAATTCACTTTTGTTCCAAATTTATCTCTTTATCAAATTTGATGGAAAAAAAAAAAAAACCCATCTTCAACACTTCACCTTTTTAAATTTTAATTTGATGAATTCCCTTAATTTGATAAATAAATTACAATATTGATGATTTTTTTAAACTTTTTAAATTAAATTTAAATATGATAATAAAATTAAAAAACTCTTTACCTTATCATGAATTGTTTAAGCCTCTTTTGGCAACATCTAAAAAAATCAGTTTATTAGCTTATTTAATTCACATAATCTCTCTATTTTTTTTTTATATATTTTTTCGTAATAAGTTAAAAAATTACATATAAGTCATATTCAAAATAACCCTTAATTATGTAATTTCCAATCTAGACTCATATCTTAAATTTGATGAAAATGATACTCTAACTGTTTCATCAAATTGATATTAAATGAAGGGAGGAGTATATTTTTTTATCAAATTAATGAAGCGTTTAGCCTTTCACCAAATTTTTTAGGTAGCCGTTAGTGGACGACGGGGTGTATGATCAACTAGATGATTGATTGGACGACTGAATTTTGGCCGAAAATTTACTCTAGACCAGATGACTGACCGAATTTGATGAAATTATTAAAGTATATTATATTAGATCAAATTTTTTATCAAATTTTTATTAAATTTAATAAAAGATTTGATAAACCAAATTCGCTTACCTAACTTTTAGTTCACCCTCTCTCCGTTCCATTATTTCTTAGCTTGTCTTCAACAGCAGCAAAAGAGTTGTTTATTTATGCTTACTCACCACACACTCTCTCTCTCTCCCATTCACGCCAAAAATCCCTCCACTCCAGAGTTTGTTTCCGTCAGAACTCTCTCTCTCTCTCTCTCTCTCATTGTTTTCATCTGCTTTACTTCATTTGTAGTCTCTCAATCTTCTGGGTACATTTGAAACTTCTCTATCTCTCTGTTTTCCCCAACTCATGTCATGTAAACTCTAGCCTATACAAAAACCTCTTTCTGAGTAGTTGAGCCGTTTGTGTCCCAAAAGGGTCTTTTTCCACATAATGTAAGATTAAGAGTATGTTTGTCTTTGTTTAATTAATGCCCATTTGTTCTTAACTGATCTGAAACCATTCCCACTCAGATTTCAATCATGGGTTTTCGCTAATTTCTGTGTCTTCAATCTGTAGACCTTGTAATTGTCATCCTGGCCAAACATTTCTGCACATTTCTTGTAGTTTTTGAGGTTTTGCTTGTTTTCTGATGACACCCATTTGTCTAGACTTGTTCTGAAGCAAATTTAATCCTCTTTGGGATAATGGGTCTTCGCTAATTTCTTTGTATACTTGGTTTCTGAACCTTAATTTCTTAAACTTTGTGGAATTTTTGGCATATAAATTCAAACCATGTAACTTGTCTTTAGGCTTCTTCTACATTTTTATTTTGTTGGAGTGATTTTGGTGAGAATTAGTTCATGAGCTGTAGGGGTGATGGATCTGATCTTTTTTGAAGTCAACCTCTTGTTGAGATCTATGCAGATGGAGAGTGCCTGTTTATTCCCTTAATCTTCAGAGTCTTAATTTATCAATGAGTTTAGTTAGTATCATTTGATTTTCCAATAGATATGGAAGTCAAGTAGTCAAAAAACTTGGCAGGGAATCAAGTTTTTCTTGATTTACATTGATAACTAACTGATTATTTTGTTATTCTTAGTAGTATAGCAAATAATTCCTTATAAATTCATTGAAATGTAAATTTGCTAATTGTATACTTATCAATTCATGGACCTCATTAGGGGTACATTTCTTTTTTCAAGCCTTGCTTCTGAAATAGATTGATACCAATTATTCCTTGTCTTTCTGCCCATGCTTCTTATGTTTGCTTATAAAAATCTAGTTATCGTAATAATTGGCATCTCCAGTCACTTGAATCTTCAACTGAGTTTAGTGTCATCCGTGTCAGCATCATCTTGTCCCTTTAGTTGTTTGTCAAAGGAAAAGGAAAAAGAAAAAATCAAAATTCCTCCTTGTTTGCATAATTTCAAGTTATCATGGAAGAAACATTTGTTCCCTTTCGTGGAATCAAGAATGATCTCAAAGGAAGACTGTTGTGCTACAAGCAAGATTGGGCTGGCGGACTCCGTGCTGGTATCAGGTTTCTGACTCTTCCATAGCTCATGTTAAATTGCCTATGAATATGATACTTTCATGTGGTTGTAGATTTTTATTCACTGATATACTAGTCAAGCTTATTCAAATTTAAAGTTCCTATGATTAAACATATCAATTTTAAGAAAAACATTCATTTAAGGATGTTTATGATATCACATAATTGCCAAAACTTAGTACTTGCATTTTTTTGCTTAGGATCCTAGCTCCAACAACATATATATTTTTTGCTTCAGCGATTCCGGTAATATCTTTCGGGGAGCAACTAGAAAGAAATACAGGTTGGAGGATAATCTTTTAACTGCCAAAGTCCTCTTAATATTAAAATTTTAACGGTAGATTTGCTAAGAATTTGTTCTATGCATATTTGGTACAGGGGGAACTTTAACTGCAGTTCAAACTCTTGCATCGACATCGCTTTGCGGAATCATTCACTCTATCATTGGGGGACAACCACTTCTTATACTAGGGGTGGCCGAGCCAACCGTATTGATGTACACATTTATGTTCAACTTTGTGAAGGATCGAAAGGATTTGGGGCCAAAACTCTTCTTAGCCTGGACGGGATGGTATATTTTGAACACACTCTTGTAACTTAAAAATATAAGAATTTATTTAATTTAATTGACTTTATTAAAAAATATTCACGTAGCCAACCCCACTTGATTGGGACATTAGGCTTAGTTTGGTTTGTTCTTGTAACTTTAACATACATATCTTGTAACCTTTTCAATATTACTGTGTCTAGGGTATGTGTGTGGACAGCCCTTCTGCTTTTCATGCTGGCAATTTTGGGTGCATGCTCCATAATCAATAGATTTACACGTGTGGCTGGTGAATTGTTTGGCCTTCTAATTGCAATGCTCTTTATGCAGCAGGCTATTCGGGTGAGTATACCTTACAATCTTTTAGTCAATCTGCTTAGAATCATGTTTGTGCTAAATTCACAAGTACCTTCTCCCCATTCATAGTTGGGTTTACAAAAGCCCTTGCAACTGATATGCTCTCTTCTCATTGTATTTTCAACTTATATGTAACCATCTTAGGGACTGGTGGAGGAGTTTGGGAAACCCCAGAGAGAAAATCCTGATCAGCTTGCACTTCAACCTTCTTGGCGCTTTGGAAATGGAATGTTTGCATTGGTTCTATCTTTTGGCCTTCTTTTTACTGCATTGAGTAGCCGAAAAGCTAGGTCCTGGCGCTATGGGACAGGTAGGCATTTAACTTGTTGCATTTCATGGATTTACAATTCAAATTTTAAAGCTTATTTGGGTGGTATTTCTTGCAAACATAAGTTCATAGGTTTGAAAGACTACAACACAATTATCTCACTCTGAGTTTCTGACTCTTAAATATGCTCCTAAGGTTGGCTACGGGGATTTATTGCTGATTATGGTGTCCCTCTTATGGTGCTTGTCTGGACTGCTATATCTTATATACCAAGTAATGATGTCCCAAAAGGAATACCAAGGCGGCTTTTCAGTCCAAATCCGTGGTCTCCTGGTGCATACTCAAATTGGACTGTTATCAAGGTGCTTCCTTTACTTCATCTTCCTAAGGAGAGCTTTTTACAATTTTTACTCTTTACTTATGAAAATCATACTCTGTACTTGCACAGCAAATGTTGAGTGTGCCCCCACTGTATATTGTTGGAGCATTTATTCCAGCAACTATGATTGCGGTGCTTTATTACTTTGATCACAGTGTTGCATCTCAACTTGCCCAACAAAAGGAGTTCAATCTGAAGAAACCAGCTTCATATCATTATGACCTTCTTCTTTTGGGCTTCTTGGTAAGAAGCTATATTGACCATAGAACTGCAGTATCTTTTCCATTTTTATTTCTTCATTTTTTTATTAAATTTTATTCAATTCAAAGTTCACGCTAATAATTGAACTAGAGTTTCTTAGTCTTTGGTTATAGTGAATGCAGCTTTTCGTTTCCACCCTGACTGTGTTTTCTGACCAGGTCATATTATGTGGTCTTATCGGTATTCCTCCTTCCAATGGAGTTATTCCCCAATCACCAATGCATACAAAAAGTTTAGCCACCCTTAAACATCAGGTAATAGTTAATTTTACTTGGCTGTTTGTTTAGTGGGGTCCTCTTATTTGTATTTGGCTATATCAAAAATTTCAGTATGTAAGGGTTTCTTTACAATATCTCTATTCTATCTGTATGTCTCATGAATAACACCCAAGTTGGAAATTCAGAATGAAGGAAGGTGCTTTTGTGACGAGATACAAAGAGAGAAAAAAAAAAAGAGAGGAAATCTTATTGCGTTAGCCATTCTCTGTTTGTATCTCGTCACGTGGTATCAGTGCTCAGTTTGGGGGGAGATTTGGGTTCAAGTCTCTCCATTTGCATTTGGTTCCCATTTACATTCGTTCTTCTTTCACTTGATGTTAAAGATAAAACACTAAGGGTCATTTGATCACAAGATGTTTTGGATACAAATTTTGCACAGTATTTTTGGTCATCCTTACTTGTTTTCCAACTGGGTCCTTTTCTTTTATTTTTTTCAATGCAATGGCATATTCCTGCTTTTTGTAGTCTGTTTTAAGATTTCTCTTCCTGTTTTGAGTGTCTCTTCATTCTGTCAACAAGATTTTTCTTTTGTTTCCTCCTTTAAACAGCTTCTACGGAACAAGCTTGTATCGGCAGCAAGAAGAAGTATGAGTAAAAATTCAAACCTGGGTCAATTGTACCAGAACATGCAAGAAGCATACAATGAAATGCAGACTCCACTTGTCTATCAAACACCACCGGGACTGGTAAATGATACAAATATTTCTTGGAATTGCTGAACATTTATATATGTGTTGGGTGTGTTTCAAATTCAACCTAGATTATGCTTATTACCCATTAGCGACCTGCACGACCGAACAAAATAGGTCCGACCAACACTTGTATTTTTGGGTTTATTTTGACCCAATTTGCTACTTCTCAGATCCTTGTATTTAAAGGGTTATTTCAGGGTTATAGGGTTTATGATCTAGAGAGTCTCTATAACAAAGGGCTGTTGAGAGAGAGCTGACTCATTGTAATCTCTACATTCATAGTGAAACTCATTCACTGTTCTGCACCTGTGGACGTAGGCTTATAACACCGAACCACATAAATTCTTGTTCTGTTCTAGGTTTTCTTAATTTTGCCTTTTCCATAACAATTTATTGTGCTGTTTTGTACATTGACTTAATGCTTCATGCAGGGGTTGAAAGAGCTGAAAGACTCGACGATTCAACTGGCCTCAAGTACTGGTTACATTGACGCTCCGGTTGATAAGACTGTTTTCGATGTGGATAAAGATGTTGATGATCTTTTACCTGTTGAAGTGAAAGAACAACGCCTTAGCAATCTGCTTCAGGCATTAATGGTTGGTGCTTGTGTTGCTGCTATGCCTTTTCTAAAGAAGATCCCAACTTCAGTTCTTTGGGGCTATTTTGCTTTCATGGCAATTGAAAACTTGCCTGGAAATCAATTTTGGGAGAGGATATTGTTGCTTTTCACTGCTCCTAGTCGAAGATTCAAGTAAGTTTACGCTTATGTTTAGGGCTATCGGTGATGGTTTTATCTATTTACTAATGCAATTGCCTTGGTTGGACTAAAAAAATCTCCGTCTATATCCCCTAGGTCATACCTACCCTGAAATTTTCCTGCTCTCTACGTTCTCCATTGAAAATCTTTTCCTAAAAGTGAATCTTTGGTTAGATTTTAAATGCCATGTAGTTTAGTGGCAAAAGTAATGGACTTGGAATGCTAGTTTTAATTTTTTTTATTTTAATATTATTACTGTTATTATCATTATCATTATGCAATAATTTAAATATTGCACCTCTGGTTTTAGTTATATTCTATAAGCTTATTGACAATTATATTTTAAGCAATCAATTCTTTTCCTGTCAAATTGATCTAATCCTAATTACCAAACTTGTCAGGGTGTTAGGGGAGTATCATGCAACCTTTGTTGAGACTGTACCCTTCAAAACAATTGCCATGTTCACACTGTTTCAGACAGCTTACTTGCTCGGTTGCTTTGGCATAACATGGATCCCCATAGCTGGTGTGCTTTTCCCACTTCTGATCATGCTTCTTGTACCAGTACGCCAGTATTTGCTCCCGAAGTTTTTCAAAGGAGCCCATCTTCAAGACTTAGATGCTGCAGAATACGAAGAAGCCCCTGCCATAGCTTACAATATGTCTTATGAAGTAAGTTCTCCGACCTTTTCTTTATTTCAGCTAGGTTTTAGATGTTCCAAATAGTGCAAATGAGTTTGAAATAGTTTCAGAATCTTTAAAGCGAACAAATTTAGATACTCTGCATATTCTGTCAGATTTGTGCCCTCCAAAAATTCATATGAATTAAGAGTCTATTTGTGCATACAAAAAGGATTATGAATCTTGCTGATATTAACTCTCCGTTTGTTTTGGCCAAAAATATTTTCTTGAAAATATTTTTTGCATTTTCTTCTTTTGGTACAACAAAAAACGAAAGTCAACGGAAAATGTTTCCACTCTTAATAGGTGAAAAACATTTTCTGGACTAAAGTCTTGCCAATTCCACTACACCACTATCACCTCCACCTCCGCCTCCGCCTCCGCCTCCGCCTCCATCACGCCACTAGTCTACAACCATTACCTTTTCAAGGGCGCAACCAACATAGAAAAATGTTTTTAACAGAATACTTCCTGCAATAATACAAACGTGCCATTAGTACAAAACAAGAGTCCGAACTTATCGTGATTCTAGTTTATAATCTCATCATCTATACATCTAAATTTGCTTTTTTTTCTGAGCATATCATGTTCTATATACTTCCAGGATCAAGATCCTCAGGCAAGAACTCCCCACATTGATAGTGGGGAAATTCTTGATGAAATTATCACAAGAAGTCGTGGTGAGATCCGCCATGCACGAAGTCCCAAAATAACAAGTTCCACCCCTGGTTCGGTAGAGCATATGAACCCTGCATATAGCCCCCGGTTGTCAAAGAGGGCCCACAGTCCCCGAATCAACGAACTAAAAGTGGAAAGAAGCCCCACAATGACCGGAAAAGGACTCGAAGTAAAGCAAACCCAAACCCCCAGTCCACGGCCATCTGTCCTTGGTCAAAGCAGTCACGGTTCATCATCGGTCTAAAACTTTAAAATTTCTTATTCAATGGTGCTTGAGAGGTCTTGTGTTAGGTTTTGTGCAGCTAAATATTGTCTTGTAGGTGTCATGTTTCTTTTAATGCATCTAACTTGACACACGAATCTCTGTTGTTTTATATGTCACTCTTTGTTGTACCCAAATATATGCTGGGCAGAGGACAAAATTAAGATAATGAAATATGTTTATTACACTTTGTAAGAATTTTATACTAGAAAATTTGGTGTAGTTCTGGAGATACAAAAGAAATGTATGTGATGAACAAGGGTGTTGGATATAATTATTTAGTTATTATGTTTGTTTTCATGTTTCTGCTTGCATAATCTATATATTTTATGGGTAATATACCGAATTCAAAACCAATACAAGTTGGGAAGTTGAAACTTGAAATCAACTGCTAATTGCTTGATCTTTCTTGTTTGATCTCAATGCATTAAAAAGAAATTATATTAAAAGAGATGGAATGAATAAAAACAACTCTAAGTCGTGCTGAGTTTCTATTAACAATGTTACACAGAAATCATTAATACGAAAACCCATTGGTTTAGGTTTAGAAAATAGAAAAAAGTGAAAAAGCATATACCAGATATGCAACGGCAAAAAATGCAACACCTACTATCCATCTAGAAATACTCTCTCAAACATTTTTGTAATCTACCAAATCCATCGCTCCTATTTCTAGTCTTATGATTGATTGCAATGAAAAGACTGTATTAGAGTTACAATTGCAGTAGTAGTATTCTCCATTTCCCATCAAAATGTCAATATATTGAGTGATTTGGTCGATTTTTCTTTCTAAAAGTTGTAGATAACGTTATTTATTGATCAAAGTCAAAAAGATGAAGCTGTGTCGACATAATCATTTAAACTCAAGCTATTGTTGTTCATATAATAAAGTGAGTTTTAGAAAAACCTGCACTGTAGCTAATTAGGCTCAAAAGGGTATTCTCATTTTCATTTCTCTTTAGCATAAACCATTGGGAAAAAAAAAAAAAGGGAACTTCCCTAAAAAAGAGAACACTGAACACTGTCCATAGTATTTGTATCATAATATTGCCATGTTATGTCCCTGAAAGTCCTAGCATAATATGAGATGAACCAGACGCGTCATCATGTTTTTTTAAGTAAAGAATTCCTTTCAATTGAAGAAATAAGTAATTTGTTCTAACTTTTTTGCTCATGCTTTTAACATAACTTCATTTTTACAGAAACATTTCATGGCCTTTTTATTCTCCTGACTTGTTCAGAGCCAAAGTTTAGTATCCTAATATTATTGTGTTATATTACAGGGACGGATCAAGGATTATGATTTTGGGGGGCTACTCTATAGTTTAAAAAATTAGAGAGGCTACTCTATATAATTTTGAAATTATCTAAAAAAAATTTGGGGGTGCGAACTCCTATAATTTTAAATTATTTTAAAATTTATAGTATAATATATGATATTTTTCAAATTTTTGGAGGTGCGGCGACCCCCCACCCCCCGATCCATCATTGGTTATATACATATCACTTACATTTCTTGTACCATGCTAATTTCACGAGGTTCTTCAATGCAGTTTTTGGTTCTTTACATTTGCATTTGATCCTGTTTGCATTATTTCTTCTCTCTGTGTATGGATGATCTCCACGTGCAAAGTGAGATTGCACGTGAGGAAGAGTGTTGAATAGCTTGATATATATTGTTGAGCTCGTTTCCTAGCAGCATAAGCTTTTAATAATTAGTGACTTGACAGATTTGCTTTAAATAGATACTTTGACAATGCATTCTCCACTGCTAATCCTCTTACATTGAACTAGCGTTTGAAAACATATATTTATTTGTGTCTATGTCCAAGTGTCCACTGTCTCTATTATGCATTCCTTATCGGTGTAGTGTTGCTTAAAGCAGATACTGATTTGAACTATATGCAATGAAATCATACATTCAATACTGTTAGATTCTTTCCTTTGCTTCAACTATCTTTTTCCCAGATATTAACTTATTATTAAGGTTGTCAAGATCACAAGACTATTGGTCGTCCATTACAAACTTTGTGAAGCTGATGAATGACCATCCTCCTTGAAATGTTATCTTAAAGCACGGGGATAAGAAGAGGTGCGTAGTATCGATCCTTGTCTTGTCATTAGTCATGTTCAATCAGCATTCACTCATTGACTGTGAACCCTTTTTCCTAAAAAAGAGTCGTCCTCTAGTAGTAATCGTGGGATCTTAATATAGATGAGTTATCATCAATTGAGCATCCATTCAACAATGTTTCGGTATAAAAAGCGCAAATCTTTTCTGATATGGTACAAGCAAGGGAACAATCCACTTTTGCTTTGCTAGTTCTTGTTCTTTTACTAATATATGGCAACCATTTCTGCATTTTAGTCAGAGTCTGCTGCCTACCCTCTTTTGCATTTTTTTTTTTTTTTTTTCACTCGAGTTATGAACTGTTTTGAACTATGTGATCATACTAACATTGAAAATTATACTAGAATGAGAAATTCAAACTTATTAACTTTGAGGTCTGGATTAAAGTTTAAAATTTTACCTCTGCTACTCAACTCAACTCAACTCAAATCAAAATATTTTTCTCGCAAAATACATTTTCGAATCCATTGTGTCATATAATGGCCAAATTATCATACGTTGGACGTAGCCGATTCTTTTTTAAAAAAAAATTCTAGTCAATTTTGATGGCCTTTCTCTTGCCACAATTGATTTTACTTAATATTTCAAATAAAAATGTTCAGCATTCCCTTCTCTTTTTTTCCCCCGTTAGTGGTAGTACCTAGATTCTAGTTCTGATTATGCCACTATGTATTACATCAGTGTGAATATACAGATGGATGTTGGAGGTTCATATAGAGGGAAACACAGAAAAGAGTCGGTACGACTAATATATGGTGAAAAGTGATTATTGAGTAGTCAAAAATATCATGTGATATTGTACATGTGGTGTTTTAATAGTCTTGGAGTAATCATGTCCTGACCAATAGCCGCACAGAAAAATATTTACCTGTGGGATATGCCACATAATCATTGGCATATAGTATTGCCAACTAACAATAAAACAATACATGGGTAGGTGAATCGTACTATTCAAATGAAACTAACAATCAAGTAATTTTAATATCTGCATAATAAGGTTAACTACATTTGCATATGATATAATATATCTCTATTTTATTATTGTTTTTTTCTTATTAAGTGATTAAGAGATAAATGATTAACGTGTTTTACGGTATAGAATACTATCCGAACAATATTACCTAGGGTGAAATAGACAAGGAGGTAAGAGCACAATAATTTTCTTAGGGTGACATAGATAAGGAAGTAAGAGTACACAAGTTAGTGGAATATATACAATTACTTCCACCACTGTCTCTGCAAGAGTACAAATGGGCCAGTTGGTCCTAATTTTATTAGATCATCCCAACATAGGGTTGCCTTTCATGCAAGTAGTGATAGAGATTGATAACCACTACTTAGGGGGCCCATGCACTAAAAAAAGCCCTATGATATCTGGTAGAGAGGAGATTGTTCATCACTTTTAGGTTGTCCTAACCCTAAAAATAGCAGTTCAAAAAAAGAAAAAAAAAAAAACCCTAAAAATAGAAAATAATGGACACTTTGAATGTGGATGAAGCATCAATGGTTTAGTAATGATCAAAACAGTGTGAGCGTGGATGGATCAAAATAATGTGTTGAGAACAATATTTGTTTTGGTTTGTGTTTTTTTCTTTTTGAAGAATTTTGGATAAAAATTACGAGGTGAAAATAGTTTAAATAAATTGAAAAATAAGTCTTCTCAACAATTGTTCTAAGATTCAAATAAATGATAAAAAAAATTAAAGAACATAATATCACTGCCGTGCACCTGTTTTATTAATCTTGTATTGTTAGTTAAACATTTCTCTTTCTTTTCACTTGAAAAGAGAGGGAAGTTATGATAACCTATAATATATAAATTAATTAATTTTACAAAAAAAAAAAAAAAAACTTATTTTTGTGACATTTATCATTTTATCAAACAGAATTATGTTTCAGATTTTAAAATTTTATTATAACATGACACATGAAATAGTTAAATTTTATTTGTTACTTTGTATGATACTTTTCCTTCAACTTTTGCTTGTAGGAATTGTTGTCGACGAAAAATGTTCTCAAGCTTCTAATAAAGATATTATAAGATATTTAAATTGAGTTTTTCTATGTTGGTGCCTCTCTGTTTTCTTTTCTTTCTCCTTTTTTTTTTTTTTTTTTTTATCTTTTTGGAAGATTTGGTTAAAATCTCTCATAATAAAATTTTAATGCATTAAAGATAAGCATAAAAAGTTTTATTTGAAAAGTCTAACAAATATCACTATTATCAAAATATTAAACTTTAAAATAATATAACTTTTGATGTAGATGTAGATTTTTAATAAAATTAATATTTTATAAATTCCTTCATCAAGGTCTATCAAATAAAATTTATATTGACTATGAAATTTTTTTAATTAAAAAAATTATTACCGTTAAAATTGATGTAAACAATAACAGTAATTTGTTATTCTATTTGATAGTAACATGTTACTCTATTTGACAATTATTCTATTTGACAGTAACATGTTACGTTATTTGACAGTAACATATTACTTTGGCAATATTGTCCAAGAAAGAAAGAAAGAAAGAAAGAAAATATATATATATATATATATATTTTACTTTGTCCTTACTCAATTATGTGTTTTCTCCTTAGGGGGTTTGTGAAGAAAAATAAATTGGACTGTCATTACCAAATAAGAGTCTAATAGGGGGTTTTGACTAAATTTCCTTTTCTTTTTTCCTCTTTGATTCTATCCTAATTGAATTATTAAACGTGTAAAACTAGATTAAAGTGAAATTTAAATAAAAGTTAGAGGATGAAAATATAATTAATCCTATAAAAATTTTGTTTTAATAGTTTGAAAATGTGTTCATTTGATCTTCACGCGAGCATTTTTTGTTAAAAAAATTAACGGTGATGAGAGAACCATATTGAAACACGGGTTGAATCTAAAGATGTAATTATTGTAGGGCTGCTTTTTAAACTTAATGATATGGCAATGCATTAGAATATCTAAGACAAATCTCTCTCTCATATATTATCTAATCATTTACCAATCATCTTATTTACACATCATTAAGTCTAGAGAGCTGGTTTACAAAATGGTACTACATACACCAATTGATACACTAATTAGTATATCAACATATGCTATGACGTTGTCACTTTAAAACTATGGATCACACCTATTATATAAATTAAATAAAGACCCAAAATTTGTAAAATTATGTCATATTATTTGTTAGTATACTAATTTATATACCAATTAGTATGCATAATTTTATTCTTATAAAATGAATTTGTATACCATTTTATGTAAAAGAGTAAGTCATGAAAGTGAAATTTGACTGAAAATTCAATTGTGGAAAGTTTCTTGCCAAGATCTTTATTGAAGCTGATTGAAGATATTTGGGCTTCTATGAAAGCCTGTATTGCAATTTGTGTTTTATGGTTTTTGTCTTATGGGCGTGAAATTTCTAAACAGAAGCTAGTAATATTGGGTCCTTTTGTTTTCCAAGCCCATGAAATACAAGGGACTGCACAGTAAAATGGTCATAAGATTATGGGTGATTCTACTTAAACCATCTTTAACGGTTCATCAAAGTTGACATCAAATTTAAAATTTGGTGAAAAAGTTACTGTTTGGTTCTCCAACGGTTGCACCAAATCGATATCAAAATGAGATTTCACCAAACAATTCATCAAACTGAGGACAGAATACTGATTTCATCAAAACACTGTTTGTGACCGTTGGGGGAGACCAACCGGTCAACCAGTCGGTTGCCCGGCCGGTTGACCAACCGATCGACCACCAAAAGGTTCAAACAGTTCCAAGAAAAGGTTCAAACAGTAAAAAATAAAAAAATAAAAATTGCCTTACCGATCGACCAGCCGGTTGACTAACCGGTCGACCACTAAAATGTTCAAAAAGTTTTAAAAAAAAAAAATTTCAAAAATTCAAAAAAAAAAATTTCGCCTGACCAGTCGACCAACCGGTTGTCCTGGCGCAAATTTGATGAAAGTTCACCGTTAAAGCGAGTGATATCAGATTTGGTAAAATGGGTCATTTTTTACTCAGATTTGATGAAAAAATAAATGCACCGTTGGAGATACTCTTACACCACTCGTTTACCTCCTTACACTCTCCATCTTATTACACCACTTAAAAAAAAAATTAAATTCTCATTACACCTAATATATTACCAAAACAAACCCTATGATAAAAAACTCTTCAAAATCCATCTCTTTACACCCATACTTTGTGCTGAGCCTGTTCGATAATATAATACTAAACAATTTGAATTACTCTAGTTCCATGTTACCGGATAAAATTTTGTTTCCTAGTATTATGTTACCATTCAATTGGATAATTTCAGTTCGCTTCCCAACAAAACCAGTAGAGTCCACATTGAAGTGCCTGTTTGGTCACATAATGCGAAACAATTTACAAAAATTCGGTGCTATAACGCTGGAATAAATTGCTTGTTCCAGCTTTTTGTTGCTATACATTTACAGAGCCACTTCCTTCCAAATAATGTAGTAATAATTTGTGCTGGGCCTGTTTGATAATAAAATGCTAGTGAATTTTAATTACTCCAATGTTATGTTGCTGGAAAAAATAGATTTGTCTAGCATTCTGTTGTTATACATTTATAGAGTCACTTTGTTCCAAATGATAATTTGGGCTTGTTCGGTAATTTGATACCAGACTTATATTTTTTGTTCGGTAATTTACCGAAAATGTATCTTTTATTCGGCAATTTGATACCAGACTTATTTTTTGGTTCGGCACTGTGATGCCGGATTATGTTATTTTGTTTGATTTCGAAACACCGAACAAAAGTCGCCGACCAGCCCAAAAAATCAAAACAAAAACCTACCAAACTAATAAAAAAACTCACCATTTCACTTTTTTTTATAGTTTTTAACCACCGTTTCTTCATCCATTGCTTTTTTTGATGATTAAAACACTATGATTATCACTTTTTCAAAAGAGATGTGTAAGAGAAAATGAAGATCAATGGGTGTAAGGAGATAATCAAATATATTTAATTTTAGTGTTTTGTCTTTTTAAATAATTTCACACATAGATAAATTTAAAAGAAAAAGCAATTTCATATGAAAGGTGTAACGAGATAAAAAAATGAAAATTGTTTGAGGCCACTAAAACAATGAGCTCTAATAGCTCTAGAAACACTGTGCCCCTAATTGATTTGATGTTTTGCTCTTTATTTTTATTTTTATTTTTTTATTTTCTAGACTGCCAGCTCATTAGAGCTGACTTAGTAGTCCATTTTTAGTGAAATCTATCACCACTGTAAAAAAATAGTATAAGTAAAATCACCCTAAGATTATCTGACCTGCACAATTCACCTTACCCGACTCTATTCGCATATTTATGGACGGCTTTATAAATACAATAAGGTTGAAAGTGGTCCAAAGTATTACAAAATTTTGAATTACGGTCGGATTACGGGTTTAAACCGTCACAACCCGCCCGCACAGATTTTTTTTTTTTTTTTGTTCTTCTAAAAAATCTGGACCGTTATATTTTTGTTGCCCAAACAAACCAAACCTGCAACAAACCAAACCTGAACCTAATGTCATCAAACAACGCAGCTCTCTCTCTCTCTCTCTCTCTCTGTGGCGATGGCGACCACTGATTTCCACCGATCGACGACCTTCGCAAGATCGACTCTCTCTCTCCGGCAAGTCTCAGGTAAGCTTCTGTCTGTCTCTGTCTCTTTCTCTTTCTTCCCGATCTCTGAATTTTCTTTTTTATGTCAGATCTTATTTTATAGAATTGAAGAACTTTGGTTTGTGGTTATCTGTATGATACATATGCTTGTGCTAAGGAGGATAAGTCACAAAATTTCTGGGAATTTGTATTACTAATAAAGTAATAAATAATATTCTTGTAATTACCTGTTGTTCATGACAAATGTTATAAAAAGTGACTTTCTGTTGCAAAATAGTTTGAGCAATATTTTGATTTTCTGTCTTGTCAATTATTTCTTGATTTGTTTCATTGTCATAGATGTTTTATCAACAATTTCTTAGGTTGATTCATGAAAAAATTGTGTATTAATTCTTGGAATTTTAATGATAATCAGTTTGTTTTTCTTGCTTCTTAGCATCTGCTTTCCATGTATCTAACTTTCTGTGCTGTTTGTAATTGAAGTTGCAAGATTTGACTTATTTAACTAAAAATTAGATTTTTAAAGGGGAAAAAAAAAAGGCTCAAAAACAAATTTTTAAAGAAAAAAGTTTGATCCGCAAACAGCCAGCACATTCTCGAACCCTATCCGTACAAACCGCAAACCGCACTGCGGACAGTTGGAGTTTGACTTTTTCCCAAACTGCATAGATGCGGGCGGGTCAAAACCGAATCACAAGCCGCACAAATCCAATCTGCTACCACCCCAGAGTTTTAAGGTGAAAATTGTGCCAAAAAAATGTCTTTCCTTAAATAAACAAATTCAGCTTTAAGACTTTTTTTTCTTTTATTTTTTTATTAGAACAAATTCAACTTTTTTCAAAATCCCACCCAAATAAACAGTGTCAATTGGGAATTTTCTGCAACCTCCAAGGCTTGTTTTGCCAACATTGCCTTATTAAAAGCCACCAAACTTTTGAACCCCAAGCCTCCTTTGTGTTTTGGCAAGCACAATTTTCTCCACCGAAGCCAGGGAATTTTTTTCTCCTCCTTTGGCTGGCCCCTCCAGAATTGGCCTATCATAGAATCAATCTCATGACATAATTCATCAGGAAGCTTGAAACAGGACATGATATTTAGTTATTTGACAGGTGAAAAATTAACAAATAGTTAACTTTTTTTTAATAATGATTTTTTTTTTTGACTATTTTAAATAGTTCTGAAACTTAACCGTTATTGGCATTTAAGTGTATTCTCATAATCACTTGAACTATCATTCTAGTTTAATTTTTTTACCATTTAAAAATAATTATAGTCTTATTTGGTAACAAGATATGACCCATCAAAAAAATTCAAATCTTCTACTCTGGAGACTTTGTGTACGAAATCTATAAACCAAAATATATTTGTTCAATCAAAATTGATTTTATTCAACTACGTTTTATGATCCACAAAAGGATATTCATAGACCTGATCGATCTGTCAAAATTGATCAATTCGATTCAATTCATCTTTTTTTAAGCTGTTTCGATAAAATGTGTGGACGGATGCGGATAGAGATTTTTCAAATTCACTTATATTTAGACGAATGGCGGATAAGAGGCCACCTAACCTAACCTAACCCAATCCGCCAACTCTCCTTAAAAAAATAATATTACATTTTTATGCTTTGTATGTAAAAAAAAAAATTTATTTTATAATAATATCAAATCAACTATGAAATATGAAAAATTGGCTTTTATTTTAATTATAAAAAATGAAGAATAAAAAATTTTAGGCACAATAACACCCAAAATAATAATAAAAAAAATACTCTAAAATGGTTTTTTACAAAAACATAAAATATTAAAGCTCAAAGATCTGTATCCAGCCGCCAATCCATCTAAGTTTGAACGGATGACGAATGGGAGGCTACCCAACCCAACCCGATCCGTGAGCACCCCTAAATATTGCTATACCTTGGATAGTTGTCCAAGTAATTACGAAGAGATCACTTGCGTGTCAACAACAGTGTAGTCAATACATAACTTTAGTTGGGTCATTTAATAAGTATCATCAATATTATTGTGCCAAATTTAGGTTTTACATAACCTATTCAAGATCAACTTTTGCGTAATATATTGTAATTTTATATATTTTCAATCACATTGGCAAATGTAATTATAGAAAAACAAAAATTGGGGCTTTAATAATATTACTTCAACAAAAACCAAGCAACAATCTAATTTTATATAATTGTTCACGGTGAGTTTTCATTTTTAAAATCACTATATGATAACCTTATTACTTAAGCTATCAAAAACTTTATCCAAATAATCATTCGATCAGCCATCATTCTAAATTTAAAGAGGGAAATTACTCTTTTAATTCTTCATAAATTGTATTGCAATGAAAGATTTTTCACAAATGTAGATGTCATTGATAGAATAGAAATAACAATTCTCTATTGTTTCTTTAAGAGCATCTCTAATCTTTATTTTTTATCATAAAATGCTCAAAAACTATTTTCAATCATTTAATCAAATGTCTATTCAAAAGATAAATAATAAATCATTTCATCAAATATTTATCAAATTAAAGGGAGAAACATTTTTTCATCAAATTTCTATTCAATAAATAAATAAATAAATAAATAATTTCATCCAATATTTAGCAAATTAAAGGAAGAAACATTTTTTTTCATCAAATTGAGAATTTATCAAATCCTTTATCAAATTTGAATTTGAAGAAAATTTTAAAAAATAAAGAACTGAAGATGATTTTTTTTTTTTCCCATTCAAATTGATGAAAATAGAAATTTGGGATAATTGGGAAATTTTTAAAAATATTTTGATAAAGATTTAATAAAAAATTTAGAATGATTCAATATCAAATTAAACTTTTTTTTTTTAAATTTAAAATCAAATTAAATGAAATAGTAGTCAGGAATTTAATGTTTTATAATTTCACTGGGTTCAATTTGCAAAATCTCAATCATTTTGGATAAATTTGTATATTTGCTTCAAAAGAAATTCAAGATTAAGTGGTGTCACTTGACATTACTATTGATACTATAGCTCTGTCTATAGGTGTCAAGGTGAATGAAATTTTTAAGTTCAAATTTATGAAGGGACGTTAGTTTGCATTATAATTTATCTACTTACATACTAACTGTTATTTTGTAGAGGAAAAAAAATTACAAATCTCCTTAATAAATCTTTCACCTTCATTAGAACCAAACACTACCTTGTTATTGTAATTTGCCCAAAACAAAAATGGATAAATTAGACTTTGCCCTCTTATATTTTACTATTCTTCCATTTTGGTCCTTAAATTCTTTGGCTCATCGCGTTTAAATTTTTTCCTATTTTACTTTTAAAATTAATATATGTTCAAAATTAGACAAAAAATATCATGTTTGCTATGTTAGAGATGCAGATTAAATATAATAAAAATTTCATACCAAGTGGCTATCAATATGACATTTTCTATTTTGTTTTGAACAAAGTTAACTTTATAACTAAAATGAAAAAAAAAAAAAAAACTTGAGATGTGAATGGCTAAAGTGAAAAAAATAATAATTTAAAGGGTAAATTATAAATACACCCCCTGATGTTTGATTAAAATACGAATTGCCCTCCTGTGATTTTGGGAATTTCATGCCACCTCCTGAGGGTTTTAATTTCACAACAAATTGCTCCTTTTATTAATAAATCATCAAGTCAATTAACAGTTTTTAATGATGCTAGAAATATGTTTCAATTAATAATTTAGGTAATTTTATTATTGTATAGGAGAACAATTATGAATTTCATTTTTTTAATTAATTTTGTTAAATAAAAAATTCTAATAAGGGGGTATTTATAATTTTTCAAACCGTAAGGAGCAATCTGTACTTTAAGCAAACCTTATGGGGTGTATTTGTAATTTACTCTAATTTAAAGGTGAAAGTGAAAAAAGTAAAGCAGAAATTAGGATAAATTACACTTTAACCCCTGTGGTTTACTCATAAAACACGGAGTTCTCCTATAGTTTCATTTGTAACACTTAAACTTCCTGAACTTCATACCAAAGTGCAATTTCGGACGGAACCGTTTGTTTCAATAGAGCATGTGTTTGCATGACCATAAAACCAAAATTTTTCCTCTTCAACCACACTGGATAATTCCTTAGTGTCTTCTTCTTCCTAATTTTTTTGAAAACAAGAAAAGTTTGTTTTCTCTCTAAAATACTTCCATCTCTCTAGCTTATCTCCGGTATTTCTCCATCTTTCCCTTTCATTTTTGTTTCATTATTCTTCTAAAATCTATGTCTATCATTCTCTTAACTCAAATAAAGTTAATCCAGAAATTAAAATAAAGCTAGCAAGCTCAACCCAAAATTAAAGTTAATCACAAGATCACTTTTTCTTTTCCTTCTTTTCTCCTTTCTCTTCCACTAGCTCACAACCAGTACCTCTTCTTTCAGCTAAAAAAGAATCAACCAAAAAGGATTTTTCAATTTCAATGCACATACCCACTGCCTCTATTTTGTAGATCATAATAAAAATGTTTCTTCAAATTAAAGTTATGCGCGCGCACGCACACACACACACACACACAAATATGTATATATATCATATATGTATAATTGAAACTATCCATCAATTCTTTCTTTGGCTACATTAGCAACAGTTTCTATTCTATCCTTGTTTTTTTTTTTTTTTTTTTTTTTTTAGAAACTACTATGGCTGTCCCAGCCAAATTGGGCAAGAAAAAGACCCCACACAACCCACAAATATATAAATACATATATATATATGTTCAACAGCCGTGGCAAAAAAGAAAGAAAAAAAAAATAAGAGAGAGGAGATAGTGAGTAATGGCAAGAAGAAAGTGGGTAGTAGTGGGTGTTGGTTGAGTAGATGAGATGGTATGAGCTTGGTAGCTGTTTGCAGCTATAAACTGTTTGTTTGGGTTTAAATTTTAAAAGGAGAGATAGATGTTTGTTTGGGTTTAAATTCTAAAAAGAGAGAGATGAGTGTTTGTTTGGGTCTAAATTCTAGAGAGAGATATGTGTTTGATGATGGTATAAGAGGTGTGTGGTTTGCCATGAGATGTGAAAGAAGAAGAGGAGGAAAGGAATACAAAAAAATTAAAGAAATATGAGAGATAATGTTTTAGTTTGTAATGGCATTAAGAAGAAAATTAGAGAATGAAATAAGGGTAATTTAGACTTTTTACAACTTCTGTTACGTCAGTCCGAAATTGCACTTTGGTATTAAATTCAAGAGTTTAAGTGTTACAAATGAAATTATAAGGGGCTCCGTGTTTTTTGGGTAAACCACAAGAGGTTAAAATGTAATTTATCCCCAAAAAAATTTGAGGTTCAAAGTGAAAAAATAAAGGATACAGAGAGTAAGCTGTAATTTATCCAACACTCGCCACTAGAATTCCCAGTACCTCTCTCTCTCTCTTTCATGGAAGCTCATCCAAACATTTATTTCTGTAGTTATGGTGGATACAACACTCGATTTTGCTCTGTTCTTGTTTTACATCACATCTTTCCTCTGCTATCTCTCGCTTTACTCCAATTCTTGATTCTGTGAGTTTATGTGTATCTCTTTCTTGTATAGAATAGAAGGTTTTAGAAGTGGTTGGTTATGCATGACCATTCTTCAATTCATTTGTAGGGTCACTTGTTCTTATCAAATTTTATGATAATGGGAATTGATAGGATTTACAATTGGAAAATGTTATACAAACCTCTTTTGTGGACTCATTTTCTAAACTCAATGATGTGTAACTAATATGATTGGTTGATTATTTTCTAAACTCAATGATGTGCAACTAATATGATTGGTTGATAATAGGAGGAGATATGATAGAGACTGTTGCATTTAATATCCTAATTGATCGTCATAGCTTAAAAATTGGAATTATGCTAGGGATCCCAAATAAATTACCAATTTTTTTACCAAACCTCTCATATAGGTGTGGGACCCACACACACATGATTTGTGTGGGTCCCACACCCATGTGAGAGGTTTGATAAAAAATTTGATAATTTATTTGGGGTCTATAGCATTTTTCTAAAAATTGGGTCTAATTTTTGGTAATGCTCTTTACTTTTTTGTTGGGTAGTGTGGATTCTAGTAAGTATTGGACATTGATCACACATTTGACATTTGTGAATTTGTAATTATTTTGGTAAAGTACCTTTTTTTTTCTTTTTCTTTTTTTTTTTTTGCACCATTGTATTATGTCAAGAGTTATATGCTCATTTAAATTAAATAAATTCATATATTTTTTACAACTGCATCCCATGTAAGATTTTGAACAAATTATTGCACAACTTGAGTTCAAGAAATTTATTTTACATGAAATGGGTTCTCTGCTTCTTACTTTTGGTCATTTAAGAATTACATTTTCATCAATGCACAATGGTCAATAGTGCATTGGATACAATCTTGTAGCCTAGGTTTTGCATCATGTTTAGGTTGGTTTGTGATGTTGTTTATTTATTAAAATTGGTATCACTATTGTTTTGGTAATAAGCTTCTAAATGCGCTGAGCAGATCTTTTATATGGTGAGAAAGCAATGGAACAGATTCAAAGGGCTGAAAGGACAAATGAACTGACAAGAGTTTATGCAATGCAGCCAAGGAACTAGTCTCCCCTCCATCAATCTATGGTCCAAGATGCAGGAAACATAGAGTTGGCATGAAAATTTCCTCAGGTTGGTGAAAATTTAGAGGCTCTTTTATAACTTTCTGTTTCTGGGTAGCATCACTGTGCTGCACAAGTGCCGTTGCACATATAGTGCTCATACTGTGAGAGCTAAGCTCACTTCAAAGTTGGTCCCCACCCCAAGATGCAATAGCATCTTTGTTGTTGCTGCTTCATTCTTTTGATTGAGTTGATAGTTGCTTTGTTTGTGTTGTTCTGCAATTATGGATGAGATACACACAAGCATAAGATGAATTACAGGTGCACCCATATGTTAAGGCAAATAAATGGTGGGGAAAATCCAGTAAAGCCTAAGAAGCTCAGACACCTCTAAGAAGGTGTTGTGATTGTGTTAGACATGTGTTTAAAGATGTCATTAATTTATTAGTCCTTTTAGAACCGAATACTCTTTGGCCACTCAGGGGAGACACGCTGAGACTGTGTTTGGTTGGAGGATTTGATGAGAGAAATATAAAGGGAAAAGGAAATGCAATTCAACTTTTTGTTTGGTTATAATGGAAAACACATGGGAAAAGAAAGTGACAATAATCCCACGTTTTGTCTTTTGGGTTCACTTAGGTTGTGTTTAGTTGGAGTGTTTGATGAGAGAGATGGAAAAGGAAAAAGAAATACAATCTCACTTTTTGTTTGGTTATAATGCAAAATGCAAGGGAAAAAAGAGTGGGAGGGAAATGCAATCCCACTTTTTGTCTTTTAGGTTCACTTAGCCTCTTTTTTTTTTCTCCATTTCCCAACTCTACCATACATACCTTGGAATTCGAATCCTATCAACTTTTCCTCATTTTCTTTCTATTTCCCTTTCCATTTCCATTTCCCTTCTCAAATTATCCAACCAAATATAGCCTTAGGCTCTTTTCTTTCTCCATTTCCCAACTCAATCAAACATAACTTGGAATTCGAATCTTATCAATTCTTTCTCCTTTTCTTTCTATTTCCCTTTCCCTCATCAAATCTTTCAACTAAACACAACCTTAGCCCCATTAGTTAGTCAGAAATGAAACACAGGAGTCTTAGCACAAATTTCAAGAAAATAATTTGAGGCCAATGACTAAAATCAAAATAATGTGTTAAGCTTCAATTCTAGTAACCGTATATCCTAAAACTTCCAATTTCTTTTGGGATATAGCTTGTTGAAATAGATGTTAGGACGTTTTGTTCACCAAGCTTTGCAAGGTCTCAATTGTACGCAGCCTTACCGCGCATGCAAAGAGATTGTTTCCATATTTCAAATCTATGACGCCCAAGTCAGAATGAAACACATGCGTCTTGGCACAAGTTCGAAGAAAATAAGTTGAGGCCCTATGATTAAAATCAAAATAATATGGATTTCCACCTGTTAATCTCTCCTCCTTTAGGCTTTCAATTTTAGGAAACTTATAACTTGAAACTTCCAATTTAAGTAGCACGACACGGACGCTCCGACATAATGATTTTTAGAAAAAATGGAGGACACGATACTTGGGACATATTAAAATTTTATATTTTTATAAAAATTATTATATGTCAATATATGAGTATTTTTTTTTAAAAAAAAAGGAGAGAGAGAAGCATAGCTCTAATTAAAATTAAAAGTTCATTACTTAAACATTAAGATATCAGTCACGTAACCTATGAAGCACGGACACCTCTCCGGGGACTCCGTACCAGTGTCGGACACGGACACGTGGTGGACACTTGTCCGACACGCAGCAGAGAGTGTCCCCCTTTTTTTTTTTAATTTTTTTACATTCGGGCACGTTATAGACACTTTCAAGACACGTTTGGAGGGTAATTTCACAATTTACAAAACTTTTTTGGGGCAATTTGTAAATAAGTAAAACAGAAATATCTGCCCTAATTTGATTAACACAGAATCTAAGGGAGAACAGAAGAGAAAGGGAGAGAAAGGGAGGACCTGGTTGCTCGTCGGTTGTCTCTGCTCCTCGTCGATCGTCGCTCGTGTCTCGTCGTCGATCGTCACTCGTGTCTCGTCGTCGCTCGTCGTTAATGTGCACACTGCTCTTCTTCATTCTTCTTCGTCGATCTTCTTCGTTCTTCCTGTTCTCCGATCTTCTGAGTTGCTGTCTCTCTCTCTCTCTCTCTCTCTCTCGCACCCTTTCTCACTCACTCTGTCTGATTTCTTTTCTTTTATTTTTTTTATTTTATATAATGAGTTAATGAGTTATTTTTTCTTTTATATATACTGATCCCTCTCTCTGTCTTTTTTTTTTTTTTTTCTATTTTCTTTTTTCTCTCAATTGTGCCTCTATTATTTGAGTATATAATATTTTTTTTTTGGATTAGTTTTATTAATTTTAATAATGTATGTTTATTAATTTTATTATAGGAACCAATTTTAATAGTGTTATTTTGTATATTTTATTACCTTTTAATGATTTTTTAATAATTTTATGACGTATAATAAATAAAATTAATTATATATATATTGAATGTGTCCTAGCGTGTCGTGTCCTTCATTTTTTGAAAATTTGCGTGTCTGTGTCGTGTCCGTGTCGTGTCGCGTGTCCGTGTCCGTGCTTCATTGCACGTAACAATTGTATTTTAAAAAATGCAAAATAATTGTAGAATATTGAAACACACATGATATATTCATCTTATACATGTTTCAAAATATATTTAAAATGCACAAGTTACATTATAAAGAATGCAAAACATTGTTATTATGAAGAAATTCATCACGTAAGTCATGCTTGGAGGGTTCAAGGAGTATATAACGAAAATGACTATAAAGTCACCAATTATTAATTTAAATTTTTAATGAAGACACGTTGAAGAAATGTCAAACATGTTTTTAGGATTGTTCTTAGTGTGTCATGCCCGACGCAGGTGTGTATGTGGTTCTCAACTTCCAATCAACCTTATTATTATGCCAAAGCCTGCCTTTAGGTTTGATTTCAATTGGACTTGTTCTTATGTTTTATTTCAATTGCTGCTTTAAACAAAAAAATGTATTTGTTTCTTTATCCACCCTCCCAACACACACATTTAAAAAAAAAAGAAAATTAGCAAGCATATTATAATTTAGGTGGTAATGAAAAATATATAAGTTAGATGGTTTAAAATCCAGGGGTGAGCATGGTTCGGATTGGAGTAAAACCAGGACCAATCCGTTATCTACGGTTCTTGAAAAATTGGAACCAATCTAATCTGTTTAAATCGTGGAACCAATCCATTTAAACACAGATTGGATCAGTTTTGGACCACGGATTCACATAATTAAATAACACAAAAAAAATATAGAATATTTTAATTTCATAAAAATATAAGAGAAACGCTATGTATCCTAAATATTCTACCAAATATTTTACCAAACCTCTCACATGGGGTGGGACTTAAACAAATCCACATGTGTGTGAGTCCTACACCCATGTGAGAGGTTTGGTAGAATATTTGGGATTCCTAGCATAACTCAAAACATAAACATAGCATCATATTAGCAACATGTTTTTCCATAATAGCGACATATTGTTCTAGAATTTAAACAATCATAAGAAAACTGATTCCACCATAAGTATTTAGACCATTACAAATTAAAACTAAAAAACTAATAAAAAAAAGTAATGAAAAAAGATACTATGCAGATTTAGGTTTTATATAGAATAAAAAAAAATACTATGCGGGAGGGATTTAATATAAATATAGGCTATTTGTATATGGTCTAGATCGATTCTAATCCGGAACCATGGGGTTCAATCTGGAACTGATCCATGGACTACGGGTTTTTAATTTTTCAATCTGGAACCGAACCACGAATTCAAAAAACCAATTCAAACCTACCGGATTGGACTGGATCAGATCGGATTTCACAGATTCCTTGGACTGGATCGGATCGAATTACCGATGACCCATTAGGACAAAGTTGATCATGAAGGTGGTGAAGCTCTTGAAAGAATGAGCCTTTTGATAAACAAGATTCAAAGCAAAAGCCATCTTCAATTTTGGATTTCAAAGCAAAAGCCACCTTCAATTTCGGAATTGGTTGGTAGGTGAGATTTTTTCTGTGCTTCGTGTCAAACTCCATGAGTGAGAAAGCAAGAGAAAATGAGGAGGAATATGGCTGAATGTAATGAAGCTGTCTTTCACTCTAACTTAGAGTTTCTTAATTGGGTGGGATGGGTAAACATTTATTATGGTTTGGACTAATTTTGACCATTGATTCATGTGCTGATCCTACTGTTGGAATTACATAGGACTAAGAAACCTCGAAGGCTTTCACTTGAGACAAATACGTACCGAATTGAACCGGGTTAGTAATGATTGTTTTAAGGTTTGCATATTTAGAATTTTTGGTCAAAGGATATACAACTTTGACTCACTTGAGAATGAAATCCAGTCCTAACCACATTGATGGGATGTTCCAATTTGATTATTTAGTGATTCTGAATATAAAAATATAACTTTGATAAGGAAGAGTAATGTTATACCAATAATATTTGTACAATTTTTTTACAAAGAATGAGGTGAATATTCATTAGATTGTGTATGAAATCCAATCTTATATTTTATTTTTGTATCTTTCTATAAAAATAGTTTTCTTTTCTTTCCTTTTTTTTTCAAACTAAATGGAATGCTTTAAGATTGTGTTTGACTTCCTTTAACAACTACATTAAAACATACCAATTATTCATTTAATAGCTTTGAATTTTTTATTTTATTTTATTATTTTATTTCTTTTAAATCCCTCAATGAACAAATTCATCTAAACAACTTATTCACACTCAATATAGCAAAAACCAATTCCTCTTAATTCTCAAGTTTTTCTTGTTATTGAGTGTTTGTCTCTTCATTTTGTATAATTTTTGTTGGATGATGTAAATATATTTTAGGGGAAGAAGTAGTAGAGAAACTGAAGTCAGTCTTATGAAAAAGGAAAGAAAAGAAAATAAATTAACAAATACTAGGAGAGAAGCCTAACTTGACAAATACTATGAAAGTTTAAGGATTGTTTATTTGTCCGGATTAGGGTAGGAAATATAGGAAGGCATGTAAGAAAAAAAATTCCAAAATAGCCTAAAAGGATTATTTTTTTAATTTTATTTTTAATTTTTAATTTTTAATTTTTATTATTATTATTATTATTATTATTATTATTATTATTTCTTTTTTGATTAAAAACTTTCGTAATAAATGAGTAATTGGGTTATGTAACTGAAACTGAATTCACATTCATTGCTGCATTGATTTCCAATTTATTTGTCATTAAAAGTGTAAATAGTAAAATTAGATAAAGAAGCACATTTAAATCATGTTATTTGACTATTTATTAATTATCACTAGTAGACATAAAGGTTTGGGAGTTACGTTTACTATTTTATCACCTATTGATTATCAATTCAACATAAAATGAAGAAAATTTTAAATCTTTCAGCGTTAGAGGGAAGGAAAAAGGCTGAAAGATTTAAAATTTTCTTCATTTTATGTTGAAGTGATAATCAATAGGTGATAAAATAGTAAACGTAACTCCCAAACCTTTATGTCTACTAGTGATAATTAATAAATAGTCAAATTAACATGATTTAAGTGTGCTTCCTTATGAAGGACTAATTTTACCATTTACTTCACTTTTAATGGCAAAGTAAATTGGAAATCAATGCATGAATGTGAATTCAATTTCAGTTACATAACCCACTTAATTACTCATTTATTACGAAAGCCTTTAATCAAAAAAGAAAAAAAAAATTAATAAAATTAAATTATTATTTATCAAATAATAATAATAATAAAATAAAATTAAAAAAATAATCTTTTTTGGCCATTTTGGAATTTTTTTTCCTACACGCCTTCCTATATTTCCTACCCTAACCCGAACAAATAAACTATGTTTAAAACTTTCATAGTATTTGTCAGGGTTAGGCTTCTCTCCTAGTATTTGTTAATTTATTTTCTTTCCTTTTTCATATGACAGACTTCAGTTTCTCTACTACTTCTTCCCCTAAAATATATTTACATCATCCAACAAAAATTGTACAAAATGAAGAGACAAACACTCAATAACAAGAAAAATTTGAGAAATAAGTGGATTTGGTTTTTGCTATATTGAATGTGAATTAGTTGCTTAGATGAATTTGTTCATTGAGGGATCTTAAAATAAATAAAATAAAAAATTCAAAGTTATTAAATGAATGTGTTTTAATGGAGTTGTTAAAGGAAGTCAAACACAATCTTAAAGCATTCCATTTAGTTTGAAAAAAAAGAAAAGAAAAGAAAACTATTTTTATAGAAAGATACAAAAATAAAATATAGGATTGGATTTCATACACAATCTAATGAATATTCACCTCATTCTTTGTAAAAAAATTGTACAAATATTATTGATATAACATTAGTCTTCCTTATCAAAGTTATATTTTTATATTCAAAATCACTAAATAATCAAATTGGAACATCCCCATCAATGTGGTTAGGACTAGATTTCATTCTCAAGTGAGTCAAAGTTGTATATCCTTTGACCAAAAGTTCTAAATATGGAAATTACCTAAAACCTTAAACCAATCATTACTAACCCGGTTCAATTCGGTAAGTATTTGTCTCAAGTGAAAGCCTTCAAGACTTCTTAGTCCTATGTAATTCCAACCGTAGGATCAGTGCATGAATCAATGGTCAAAATCAGTCCAAACCATAATAAATGTCTTCCCATCCCACCCAATTAAGAAACATTAAGTTAGAGTGAAAGAGAGCTTCATTACATTCAGCCATTTTCTTCGTCATTTTCTCATGCTTTCTCACTCATGGAGTTTGACACGAAGTACAGAGAAGATCTCACCTACCAACCAATTTTGTCCAACAATTACTTGAAACCCGAAATTGAAGATGGCTTTTGCTTTGAATCTTGTTCATCAAAAGGCTTATTCTTTCAAGAGCTTCACCACCTTCATGATCAATTTTGTCCTAATGGGTCATCGGTAATCCTTGAATTAGGGGTTCAAACTGGGTGTTTCGATCCTTTTGACCCCTTCACAAATGGTTATTCTCCAAATCTCGATGATTTTTATGAGTCAAAGCCATTTGCAGAAAATGGAGCAAATGGTACTAATGTTGCAGTGATGCAGAATTTTCAGGGTGAATGTGATGGTGGTGGGAACTTGAATTACCCTAAGCAAACTCCGATCAATGTGACCGCATCTGAGCAAAGCTGCGGCCCCTTCAACTCTCAGGATATCAGACCAGTGAACTTTGTGATACCGGATGAAGGCTCATGCATAGTGGCTGAAAATGGGTATTATAAAGAAGTTGGCAAGAAAAAGAATAGCAGTGCCTCATCGGCACCAAAGACAAGAAAGCCATGCAAACGTCGTAACAAGCCCAGTTCAGTCAAGGGGCAATGGACCGCTGAAGAAGATAGGTTGGAATATAAGATAATTGTTTTAATATTCCATTATTTTTTAATTTTTTTGTAGTTTGTGATCACATATATGATAACCCATATGGATGTTTGGATATGTAGACTCTTAATTCAGATGGTAGAGAAGTATGGAGTGAGAAAATGGTCTCATATTGCTCAGACGCTGAAGGGAAGGATAGGCAAGCAGTGTAGAGAGAGGTGGCACAACCATCTAAGGCCTGACATCAAGGTATTCATGTTTTCTTCTTTATTTTGTGTTCATTGTAGACTCTGTTTATGATCTCATTGATTTCTTCTTCTTCTTCTTCTTCTTTTGATGGTATGATCTCACATTCTCACTGATTAAACACACCCTACAAACATATTAACAATTTGTATACATACATACAGAGAGAACATATCGTATCCTTATACACACTTACAACTTGTAATTTAGGGAAAGTTTTTCTTTTTCCCTTTTTTGGTAGATTAGAAAAACTTAAAATTCAAAAGAAACCATTTAACTACAAGAGCTTTTTGTGAAATAATTAAAATTACTGATGTATAATTCACTTAGCTGACATTCATATGAAAAAGGTTATGAATTCATATTCATAGGTAAATATGAACATCTATGGTACATGAGAGTGCATATGCACATGTGAGTGGGGGCAATTTTTCCCTGCTGACTTTCAAGAATTTATTATTCTACCTATAGTTTAAAAAAAGAAAAAAAAAAGTTTTCAAAATTGCCCCATTGAAATTTTTGAAAATATTCTAACTATATTTTTTAAATCTGTTTTCAGTTTGTCTCACCACCACTGCTTTTATATTTCCCCCATAAATTTAACCACCGATTGCTATTTCCCAACAAATTTCTCTACTTTGTCTCTCTCTCTCTCTCTCTCTCTTTGCCTTTGATCTATGTGTGTATATATGTGTCTTGAGAATTTAAATTTTTGATTTGTGAAGTTTAAATTTGGATTGTGTTTATGCGAACCAACACCAGATTAGAACTTGGCACATTAATATGATGCAATTTCATATTTCTTGCGTTGAAGTAAAGAAATTTAGGGTTAAATTACTTCTGTTGATTATCAAAGGGAAAAAATGGTCATGGGTTTTGGATGTTTTAAGTGTTTTCCTTTTCTTTTCTCCCAACAGTGTGTTAGTGTAAAGTTGAGTTTATCCAAAACCAGGTGGTCTTATTCACTTACATAATTTATACGGTACTCGTGATTTAGTGTTCAAACATTCCACATGCTCACAAATTCAGGACATGGAAAATAAATCACCACCCTGCTCACACATACAAAATATGAATGCTTGCAGTTGGTTTTGAACTTTCAAGAGTACTAGACTTCAGCCGCCTCGTGGCATAAAACATCACCTGCCCTAGTGGCATTAAAATTTAGTAGTTGCTAAGAATGAACAAAGTGCTTAGAGAGTGCTTTGTCCTCGAAAATCATTTTGAAACAAATTTAACTTTGTTTGGGATATATATATATATATATATTTAGAAGCTGTTTGAGATCTATATAATACATGCATGAATTTCTTATATCCATTCGTATATATGTGTAAGTAGAGGTGGCAAACAGGGAAGTTTGGGCGGGTTAATGGGTTTTGCATTAAAAAACTCAACCCAAACCCTTTAAACAGGTTAGGTTGAATTGGGTATATGTTGAACAAATAACCCCACAAACCGGTTTCTTTGTTGAGATTAGTTGTAAGAATAAGATTAGTTGGTTCATTTTCTTCATCGCAGAAAGACATATGGACTGAGGAGGAAGATAGGATACTAATCCAGGCCCATCTCGAAGTAAGAAACAGATGGGCAGAAATTGCAAAGAGGTTGCCTGGAAGAACCGAAAACTCCATCAAGAACCACTGGAATGCAACCAAAAGAAAGCAGTACTCGAAGCGACGATGCCGTCGCCTCCCCAAATACCCGAGACAGAGTTCTCTTCTTCAAGACTACATCAAGAGCTTGAACTTGGACGGCAAATCAGAAAACAACTCGACAAATATTGCTAATTCGTTCAATGGTGTCCTGAATGTTAATCATCCTACTACAATCAAAGCACCTCTAATTCAGCCAGAGACAGTGGAGTACTTTTGTTGCCCGAGTGATCACATAGTTCCAAGTTATGATTTTGATGTTGAGGTCCCGGAGTTGGATTTCGATGAGAAATTGTTTGAAGAGAGTAGTAGCATTGATTCTCTTATTGATCAGATGCCTTGTCCTCCTCTTGTGGAGGATGATGGGAAAAGCTTCGACTTGGAGGAGGTCCCACTATGTATGGCTTCTTCATTTGTGGAGTGTGAAGTGAAGAAAGAGATGGATTTGATGGAGATGATCAATCAAGTCAATCTCTAATTACTTAAAAGCCAATATATATATATATATATATGCAAATATATATCTTAGGCCTTTGGTGTCTTGAAAGTAAATTTATATTGAGAAGGGTAAAGTAATTTAAAAAAATAAAGAAAATGATATTAGAAATATTTGTATGAAACTTTTGGCTAATAGCTAGCTATAATAACTTCATACATTTTTGATAAATCACCTTAAACTTCATATACATTTTTGCTAAAACTCCTTGTTAGGGTTTTTGAGCTCTGTATTTATTCTTTGTTTGTTTGGCATCAGATGGTATTTATTATGCAGTCTGACCAATCTATATTACATCCTTTTATTATTACTATTTATTTTTTTTGTTGGAGGAATATATAATATTTTTTTGGATTTCATTTTCTACTGAGATTGAAAGCAAGAGCACCAAATGACATTTTCATAAAGAGGAAAATCTATTTCTGAAAAAAAAAATCTCAAATATTTTGGAGAAAAAAGTCCAACAATTCATTATTTTCAATTTTTTTTTTTCTTTTTGAGGTAAAAATAAATTTGAAACTAATTTCTAATTTAAAAAAAAAAAAAAAAAAACCTACAAATTCAAATAAATTTTAGTTGTTGGTGGCCTTTTGTTGGAGCAATTTTTTTGAAATTGACAAAACTGCCCTCCTGTCATTAACCGAATAGGCAACTTAATAACAAGTTTTTTCATTTCATCAGACTTTACCCATATCTACCCTGACAAACGTTTATTATTATTTCCCAATGTAAATTTAAATTAAAAAAATGTCAAAATATGATCATTCCATCGAAATATCCATTCATATATTTAGTGTATAAGAGATGTCAAGCAAAAAAGTTATTTTATTTCATTCCATCTCATTTTAATTAATCAAATAGAACATGGGGGCGGCATTTGGGAGTAACCATGCTTAAAGCTCCATTTTCTGATAACAGAGTGGATCTCATACTACCTTCCAGATATGGGTAGATTAATATATTCTACATTTGAAATAGCTATTACTTAACAAGTGCTAATTAAAAGCACAAAACTCAGCAAAAAATGGTTTCCCCGGACCATCATATTTGCAGCCAGTAAAACTATGAAGAAGACCTAGTAAAAGAATTAAACCATCTATTTCTCGGATTATACAAACCAAAGTCCTCGAATGTCGTAACATCTGTTCCTCGTATAAACAACCAATATACCCACAAAATTTCTCGACGTAAGAACTTCAAGCTGTCTTTAGCTTTGGCTTTATGCGCTTCACCCTTGAATACAGGAACACTCCGGCTAGGGCCACTCCAGTGCCTGCAGCAAAAGTAAGGAAAAAAATAATCCTATAATTTTAAAATAAAATAAAATGATGAGAAGATCATTCTTATTCCGATAAAAAAGAAAAAAACCATTGTTATATTTTCAGTGTAGCTTGTGGGAGATCGAGTGTAAAAAATCATACCCAGAGAGTTGATAGGTGAAACAGGTGTGCGGAAGAAGAGAACAGAGGTCACAATTACAACCACCCGCTTCACACAATTGCCCACAGAGTGGGTAACTGGGGATACCCTCTGCAATATCATATAAGAAACCTGCACAAGCACGTCTCAATCAGCTTCTTTATGAGGAGGACAGCCTTTACAACAGATTATTTCAGAAGAGAAGGATACAGCAAGTTTTAAACATGTATTTAATATAGATTTTTCAAGAATCTAAACATTGTGAAATACTCTTTGACTTAGAAGGGCCTAACTCTCTTATTTTATCAGCAATTGAACACTTTCTAGCACTGGAGTGGATAACAATCTGCGGTGCCATGTAGCTGTCTATGGGATTCTATAAATTGAGATTTTGATGCATAAACAGTAAAATCTCAGTGATAACTAGTTAAGGCATGTCTCAAAGTGGAGTCCCAGGGATTCAATTCTCTATAGGATTGAAATAAAATCGGAGATATTAAAAATCCAACAAAATAGATAATAACAAAATTATTTCAAACAATATGTAATAAGAGTAGTGCTCTTATGTAATTATTAAGACAAAAGTGCATTGAACCCTCAATTCAGTATTTAAGATCCTGAATGAAACAAATTGCACGCTAATAACAATATGGTAGGGGAAGTGATTACAAAAATTACCATAGTAGCAACAATAGAACAGTCATTGTTAATTGAACTTATCAAAAAATTCGGACCATCTTAACTGTACCAAACAATTTTTTTTTTAATATACAAAATTAAAAGGGCAAATGAAAGAAACACTGAAGTTGAAATTTTTACCTGCTGATATGCATGGAAGCAGAGTGCAGCAAGGAAAGACCTAGTGTAAACCTGTCTGACATTCAATCCCTGACATGCAGATAATGAAAAGAATCAGGAAATCAAATATGTGAGCAAATAAATAACTGGACTTGTAGCATTCTAGATTAACGCACAGCAGATTGAAGGTATGAAGGGATGATCTTGACTCCTTCCACAAAAAAAGTAACTGGAGCCAGCAAGATGAAGGACATAATTGTTATAATTGAGAAGAGAGTAATGTTGTCCAAAGAATCCTGTAGAACAAACTTTTAGTACTTGAGAAAATAAATAATCACAGGGCAGAGAGAGAGAGAGAGAGAGAGAATAAACTGCTTTTTCACCAACCAAAAAGAATAGTCTTAAACAAAATATAAAAAGGTAAACTATATCAAGACAAATTATTTGTTACCACTAACTTTCTACAAGTGCTTGAACATCGATGAAGAGAAGAACTATTCCACCTTATAGCACTCTGATCTACCAATTTCCTAGAAGTACTTAACATCAATTAAGAAAACAACAAGCTCTTCCACTTACTAGCACTCTGATCTAACTGATTCTGAAAAAAAAGTCATTAGCGAATACCTCTTTCTTAACCATAAACTTTTTGCTAAGGACATTACGAGATTGGTTGGTCAAATTAGAAGCCATTGCACTCCAAAACCCAGCCCTGTTTCATATTCAGAAAAAATGAGATTGTATATGAGAATGAGGGATAACCACTTCAACTACCTATTTGTCATATGCTATTCTAGAAAAATTCAAAAAAACACATGTAAAAAGGAAAATATAGGCAGAGAAGGATGCATTTTCTTTCTATACATATTTCTCCTTTTTCAGGTTTTGGGCAACAAAAAGGTAACAATTCAGAGCAAATGCATGTGTATTTTCCTCACCAATTAAAAGATGCCTCGGTCATTGATGCCAGTGCCACTCCACCAACAATTGGTAACAGAGAAGAAACCACCCAGAGAGTGGGCATCTATTTGAGCAGGGGAAAAAAGAGAAGGTTAAAACAACTCGTACAATTATCAACATTTGCCAGTATCAAAGGTACAAATCATAAAACTATTTTCCTACAACGTGCCGTGTTGTGTGCACCACCAACAGTCAAGCCTACAACTAAATCAGAAATTACTAGTAAATATTTTCAAAAGAACAGTAAAGGGTGTGCTACTACTAACTTTGGTGTCATCTCAGGAAAAAGAGAACTATTCTCCATCCATTGACATGGGATACGGTAATGAAAAATATATGAATTTATTTAATTTAACTGAGCATTTCTAGTCCTTGATAAAGCTAAATAGCAAAAAATGATTCATGTAGCCGACCCAACTTGATTAGCACACAAGGCTTAGCTTGGTTCGGTATCCTCCTCCATCCAGGATACCCAGCCAGGAGAAAGAAACTACTAAATATTTGGGAGAAAAAAACAAAAACAAAAACGAAAGGTGGAAAAATAATAATAATGAAATGTGCACCTCCCCTAGAAACATAGCAGAGAGGACAACTGAGAAAAAGGGCTCCATGGCTTTAATCGTGTGAGTGAATGAAACAGCAACTTTTCCAAGACTCATATTTGTGAAAAGGTTGCCTAGGGTGTGCACCACAGCCAGTGGGAGGATTGCTGCAAGCTGTTACAGAAAAAGACTTGTTAATCAAATTCAGCATAGTAATGGAAAACTAAATACATGATATATTCATTTAAGCACATATCAGAATACCTGTGCACCGCTGATTTTTGGCCTTCTGTAGAGATTAGTTGTCCACATTAAAATAACGAGTACAGTCCCAATGGCAAACTGAACTGTGGTGACAGTTAATGGAAAAGGGAACACTTTCAAAACCTGTGAACAAGAAGTATCGACTACATCATTAATTGCGTACTCACTGATTAAAAATGTTTGATTGCTATATCATATAGATCAATAAGATTTCATCATACGCGATTGTTAATGCACATTTCATCAAACACCGAAATTGAAATCAATTCTTAATCATGTCAGCTATTTTTGCTTCATTTGTCAACAATCTAAACACTTTACAAAGACTGAACATTAATATGCGGTATAAAAGCAGGGAAAGCATATCAAGGGCTCGTTTGGCTACTGACTATTTGGCTAGAATAGCCAAAAAAACCACAAAAAAACCAATAATATCACATCATACATATCAATCAATTCAATTACTTTTTCACTCACAACTATCTATTCAACTTAAAAACTATTCCAAACACACTAACTTTTTTTCACCTTAACAAATAATAAATAAATTTAATTTAAAATTAAAATTAAAAAAAAAGAAGCCACAAAAAAAAATCAAAGTTGTTTTGGATATGACTTATTAGAAGTTGGCTTTTTTACATATTATGAAAAGACATGCAGAAGGTGTTTGGGTTTGCTTATTTGTTAGCTTTTTTTGGCTTATTTTCGTCTTTAGCGAACTCTTTTTTTATTTATTTATTTTTTTATTTTAAGAAAAAGTTTTACATTTTTAGATTCATCTTGATGAGATGAATCAAAAAATTAAATTTTAAAAAAAAAATTCCAAAAACAGTCCAGAAGACAAAAATAAGCACCTAAAAAAAAAAAAAAAGTCAACTTTTTTGGGTTATCTTAGATTTTTCCACAAAAAAAAAAAAAATGGAATTTTTCAAAAAATATATACTTTTTAGATTCGTCTCCAACTGAAAAAGTAAAAAATATTGACATAATTTTGAAAAAAAAAAGTCACTAAAGACGCCAAAAAAAAATAATAATAAAATAAAAAACAGAAAAGAGGTGGCTTTTTTAGGTGTTCCCAAACATCAAATCAAGAAATAACACAACAATAGGGCTTGTTACTTGCTTGATCAAAAGATCATCAGTTGTGCTCCATACGCGCTTAGAAAGAATTTCAAAGCATGGAAATGGAATGGAACACAAATGTGACTCAAGATGTTGGCATCACATTTGTGCATTTTGTGTCCGGTACTTTGTGTGTGCGTAGACATACAACATTAACACTAGAAACTTCAAATCTTCAATATACCACTAAAAAATCCAATTCAAGTTATCAAATTTAGCTTCACTTCCTAGATAATATGCCTAATATGCCTTGTTCATCTCATGAAATGCACACAAGTAAACTAATCAACAAAACTAAAATACCGTACAATAAAATCCAAAGGACATACATTGTCACACATTCAGAAGACGAAGAAAAACAAAAACAAGAGAGCAATTCGCCTACCTGCTTGTTATAGATATTGAAGTATATGTTGAAGAGATACCAAAGTCCAAACAGAGACCCAAGCTGAAGCGTGCTCGTCAAGCTACTCGACTTAGCACTCTCTCCAGCACTCTCCGACGCTGCCCGAACCTCGAAACCATCCGATTCGCGCTCGGCCACTACAGCCGGAGTCGAAATCCAGCCATTCAATCTCGACGACGACGACGACGAACTTGAAGAACAGAAAATTGGCGACAATCGACGAAGCGAAGAGGCGGAGACGAAATCAAGCGATCTCGAAGGCGGACGGGTAGATATACGATTGAATCTATATAGGGAGCTAGGGTTCGAAGAGGTTCGAAGCTTCGGAATTGAAATTGATGGAGAGAACGTGAATGCAGTGCTCTGCATCTTCGAGATCAGGATCAGAGTAGAGAGAGAAAGTTGGGGAAAAAGAGGAGAGAGAGAGGAAATGAACGAAATTCTAGGGATTGTTTCTGGGGGAATGGGAATTGGAGGGGGTTTCCACTTCCAGGAGGATTTGAATTCTCAGAAGTCAGGTGTGGATTTGAAATGTTGGTAAATTTGAAGTAAATTACACTTTGACCGTTTGGCCTTTCGACTAAGATTGGGAACTTACGACAGAAAAGAAATGAAAAGCGATAACTAGTTATGGCTCCGTTGGACAATAGTTAAACGAGATTTTTTTGGTTATTTTAATCGTAAAAGATAAAATAAATTATTTTAATCACAAAAAATAAAATATCATATTCAATCCATAATCATTACATTCTTTTCTCAAAAAAAAAGTTAAAAAAGTCAACAAGTCAAAAAGTCCTTCCCAAACTAAATTTTTTAGCCCATGCTAAATTAGCCAAAAAAACTAAAAAGCCAAAAAGCCAACACACTTCCCAAACAGAGGCTATGTTATAAGAGAAAAGAAAAAATTGTAATTTTTTTTTATTTGCTTAAATTTTAGGGAAATTTATCAGAAAGTCCTTTACTGGTGAATTGTGTTCCGTTTGATCCTGCTATTTTTTGTTTGATTGGTAACTCCATTTTAGGTGGGATTGCTTACTGGAAAGTCCTTTTTTGAATGTTTTTGGTGTGGGCTGGACGAATATGCCCTCGCTTATTATATGGGATGTTCCGATTTTCCATTTTGGTATGTGCAATCCCAACAACTGTGGGTGCTGACAGTGGGTGAAGATTCCTTTAAGAGGTTTTACAATTTGATATGGCTATGAAAGAAGAAAGCAGTAATTGAAAAAGAAGAAGAGAGAAATAGAAAACTGAATCTGCACTTTATTCACTCTCTTCACATACAACCTGATTACAGTCCACAAAAAAACTCCACTGTTTCCCCTCTCCATCCTAGCTATATACATCCAATACTAACTAACAAACAAACTTCTCCTAACCACTAACTAACCCAACTAACTAACAAACTTCTAACTAAGTCGAAACTGAATTCAAAAACTGAATTCAAAATTTCTTTCTCTCTAAATCATAGCATTAGTTAACCTGTCGACAACCACAAATATAACAGATCTGCCGTGGGATTTGGGAAGGCCCTCAATAAAATCCATAGAAATATCAGACCAAACTCGATTGGGAATAGCTAGAGGCTGTAACAATCCAGGGGATTTCACATTTTCACTCTTAAACCTTTGACAAATGTCACATTCGGAAACCAACTTCGAAACATCATTCTTTAACCCTTTCCAATACAAAATTCTCTGAATTCTCTTAGTAGTTTTATCAATCCCTGAATGCCCACCTATTGCAGAGCAATGAAATTCCTCCATAATCTGGATCTTGAGCTGAGGCGTGTTCCTTACCACCAATTTGCCTTTATAGGTCAGAATCCCTTGCTCCCAATGATAACCCCTATGGGAAGTATGAGCAAGAATCAAATCAGCAATGATTTGTTGTACCACTGGATCAGATATCCAGCTTTGCTTGATTTCAGCTAACCAACTAGTAGACACAAAAGTAATAGCATGCAAAGTAGCAGGGTTATTTGTAGTATCCTCCCTTCTAGACAAAGCATCCGCTGCCATATTCTCCTTTCCACATCTGTAAATGATCTCAAAATCATAACCCAACAATTTAGTAATCCACTTCTGTTGAAAAGGGGTGCCCACCCTTTGCTTCAATAGGTACTTTAAGCTTTGATGATCTGTTCTGATAAGGAATTTCCTACCCAAAAGGTAATGCCTCCATTTGAGTACAGCCAAGACCACTGCCATTAGCTCCTTTTCATAGGTAGATAAAAGTTGATCTCGTGCAGATAAGCCTTTACTCCAAAAAGCTATCGGATGCCCCTCTTGCATTAGCACCGCTCCTAAGCCTTTTCCCGATGCATCTGATTCCACCACAAATTCTTTAGTATAATTAGGCAAAGCTAGAACTGGTATTGTGGTCATTACTGCCTTAAGTAAGGTTGCAGCCGCAAATAAACCCAGTCATGTGGTTCAAATTCACGGTCAGATCTATGCATATCAGCATAATGCTTCATCCTGTGCTGAGCTTGATGCAAATTGTCTTTTAACATTCTGAGAATTGAAGCTCTTTCTCGTATCCAATTATCCACCTCAGCCACAGCAGAAGGGTTGGAAGAAATGAAAGTGTGGTCTGGAGGATCTTGACCATAAACAGCGTAATATGGAGTGGTTTTGATGGCTGAATGATAAGAAGTGTTGTACCACCATTCAGCTAAAGAAAGCCACTTAACCCAGTTCCTAGGACAGTCACCTGACATGCATCGTAAATAATTCTCCAAGCACTTGTTCAAGATCTCTGTCTGACCATCAGTTTGTGGGTGATAGGCTGAACTTAAACACAATTTGCAACCTTGCAAAGTGAAAAGCCCATGCCAGAAATTGCTAGTGAAAACTGCATCTCTATCGGATATAATAGATGAGGGCAGTCCATGTAGTTTGTATACTTGATCCAGGAATACTTGAGCAACATCTTTGGCTGTGTATGGATGTGAAAGTGCCATGAAATGGCCATACTTAGTTAACCTGTCGACAACCACAAATATAACAGATCTGCCGTGGGATTTGGGAAGGCCCTCAATAAAATCCATAGAAATATCAGACCAGACTCGATTGGGAATAGCTAGAGGCTGTAACAATCCAGGGGATTTCACATTTTCACTCTTAAACCTTTGACAAATGTCACATTCGGAAACCAACTTCGAAACATCATTCTTTAACCCTTTCCAATACAAAATTCTCTGAATTCTCTTAGTAGTTTTATCAATCCCTGAATGCCCACCTATTGCAGAGCAATGAAATTCCTCCATAATCTGGATCTTGAGCTGAGGCGTGTTCCCTACCACCAATTTGCCTTTATAGGTCAGAATCCCTTGCTCCCAATGATAACCCCTATGGGAAGTATGATCAAGAATCAAATCAGCAATGATTTGTTGTACCACTGGATCAGATATCCAGCTTTGCTTGATTTCAGCTAACCAACTAGTAGACACAAAAGTAATAGCATGCAAAGTAGCAGGGTTATTTGTAGTATCCTCCCTTCTAGACAAAGCATCTGCTGCCATATTCTCCTTTCCACATCTGTAAATGATCTCAAAATCATAACCCAACAATTTAGTAATCCACTTCTGTTGAAAATGGGTGCCCACCCTTTGCCCACCCTTTGCTCCAATAGGTACTTTAAGCTTTGATGATCTGTTCTGATAAGGAATTTCCTACCCAAAAGGTAATGCCTCCATTTGAGTACAGCCAAGACCACTGCCATTAGCTCCTTTTCATAGGTAGATAAAAGCTGATCTCGTGTAGATAAGCCTTTACTCCAAAAAGCTATCGGATGCCCCTCTTGCATTAGCACCGCTCCTAAGCCTTTTCCCGATGCATCTGATTCCACCACAAATTCTTTAGTATAATTAGGCAAAGCTAGAACTGGTATTGTGATCATTACTGCCTTAAGTTGTGCAAATGCCACTGCCGTTTCTGAGTTCCATTGGAAGGAATCTTTTTTGAGTAATTGATTTAGTAGAGAACAAATTTTTCCATAGCCCTGAACAAACCGTCTATAGTATCCTGTGAGGCCAAGAAATCCTCTTAGTTCCTTTAAGGTAGCAGGTGCTGGCCAACTAGTCATAGCTGTAATCTTGGTTGGTTCAGGAGAGACCCATTTTCCTGAAACCAAATGCCCCAAGTATTCTACCTCCTCTTTACCAAACACACGCTTGGACCTTTTGGCAAATAGTTGGTGAACTCGCAGCAACTGAAAAGTAGTTTGCAAATGATGCAGATGATTGGTCCATGTACTACTATATACTAAAATGTCATCAAAAAATACTAAGATGAATTTCCTTAAGTGAGGCCTAAAAACTTCATTCATCAAGCTTTGAAAAGTAGATGGGGCATTTGTTAACCCAAATGGCATTACCATGAACTCATAATGTCCATCATGGGTTCTAAATGCAGTTTTGTAAATGTCTGTAGGAGTTACCCTTATCTGGTGATAACCAGATCTCAAATCCAGCTTAGAAAAGTACTTAGCACCACACAATTCATCAAGGAGTTCATCTATAGCAGGAATAGGAAATTTATCCTTCACAGTAGCTTTATTTAAGGCTCGATAATCAATGCACATTCTCCAACTCCCATCCTTCTTCTTAACTAACAGCACAGGTGAAGAATAGGGACTAACACTGGTTCTAATAATTCCTGAAATTAACATCTCACTAACCTATTTTTCAATCTCAGTCTTTTGGAAATAGGGATACATGTAGGGCCTGATATTGGTAGGTTCCGTCCCTGGTTTCAATGGTATGCAATGGTCATGAGCTCTGGTTGAAGGAAGGCCCTTAGGTTCATGGAAAATATCTTCATAATCAACCATAGGGATACCTGTAAGGCCTGATATTGGTAGGTTCTGCCCCTGTTTTCAATGGTATGCAATGGTCATGAGATCTGGTTGGAGGAAGGGTTTTAGGTTCTTGAAAAATATCTCCATAATCAACCAGTAATGCTTCCAAGTCTGGTTCCAAGTCTGGTTGTAATGTATCCTCTAGTTCATCACATTCAGCCTGAAAAGAGTACACCTGAGCTACAACTCCCTGTGCTTGTTTCTGAACTATCTTTTTCATCTTATTAGCCCCAATGACTGTCAATTCTTCTTTCTTTCCTCCTCTTAGCACATGCCTCCTGTCATTCAACTGAAACTCCATGCTCAGATTCTTGAAATCCCACTTCACTGGACCCAATGTTGCTAACCATTGAATTCCCAAAACCATGTCACAGCCCTTGAGTTGCAAAATCCTCATGTTAGCTTGAAATTCAGTGCCTTGCATTTCCTACCGAAATCCTTTACATATTGCTGTGCTCATTAGTTTGGTGCCATCAGCTACTAAAACTGGTAATGGGTCTGTCTCTGAGGCCATTATCCCAACTCTCTTGATTACTTCTAGACTTAGGAAGTTATGAGTACTTCCCGAGTCTATTAGAATCGTAACTAGCTTTTTCTTGACATTTCCTTTTACCCTCATAGTTCTGTAGGAAACAGAGCCAGACAGGGCATTAATCGAAATTTGTAATTCCTCTTCTGGAACCTGGTCTTCCTCCACATCTGCGCCTTTGTCTTCCACCTGTTCTTGATCTTCTTGTTCAACCTCCAGAGCATATAACTGCTTCTTTTTACAGATATGGCCCCTTGTATACTTCTCATTGCATTTGAAACATAATCCTTTGGCATTTTTTTCTTCCCAGTCCTTTGGTAGTTCTTTTCTTACAGGATTCATAACTGGATTTTGTTTGGCTTGATTGGAAAAAATAGATTCTTCTGCTCTATTCCCTTGTCTTGCTCTTCTTGTTATGGCTTCAATGCTATTCTCCTGCATTTTAGCCAATCCAATGGCCTGCACTATCGTAGTAGGCCTGAACATTAACACCCCTGCCTTAATGTCTTCTCTTAACCCACTGATGAAACAACTACTGAAAAAAACTTCTGGTAACTCGCAGGTTTTATTTGCCAGAATTTCAAATTGTTCCTGATATTCCTTCACAGTGGTTGTTTGCTTTAATTTGGTCAGATCACCCATTTCATCTTCATAAGAATTGGGCCCAAATCTGGAAATAATTCCTTGTTTGAACAGATCCCAATTAATCTGGCGATGGCATTTCTCAAACCATTGATACCATTGTAGGGCCTTATCCTCTAAATGCAGAGTAGCTAATTTCACCTTGTTTGCACTTTCAACTGAGTTATAATCGAAGAATCTCTCACATTTATACAACCAACCAGTGGCATCTTCCCCAAAAAATCTTGGAAAATCAATTCTTGCATATCTGGTATTGAAAAAAGAAGATGATTGAGGTGAATCCGAACGAACTTGGGCTTCCATGGTTTCTGGATGATTTCCAAAGACTCCATTTGCCATTTGATCATACTTGACATTCATGGCAAAAATCAATTCCTTGATTTCGTTCACATCTTTCAATGAATTTATGATCTCTCTGATATCCTGTGCTTGCCTATCGCTGCTGTCTTTAAGCGTTCGTATTGCTTCATCCATTTTTTTTTATTCTTGTGCCCTAGTTCCATCTGCCATTTCTGTGGAATTCCTCTCGCAGGCCAAGAATAGCCGGCTCTGATACCAATTGATATGGCTATGAAAGAAGAAAGCAGTAATTGAAAAAGAAGAAGAGAGAAATAGAAAACTGAATCTGCAGTTTATTCACTCTCTTCACATACAACCTGATTACAGTCCACAAAAAAACTCCACTGTTTCCCCTCTCCATCCTAGCTATATACATCTAATACTAACTAACAAACAAACTTCTCCTAACCACTAACTAACCCAACTAACTAACAAACTTCTAACTAAGTCGAAACTGAATTCAAAAACTGAATTCAAAATTTCTTTCTCTCTAAATCATAACACAATTAGGGTTTACATTATGGGTTCATGTTGATCTATGGGCAGAGGAAGTGCTGCACCAATGTTTACACCATCGTTGCACACAGGTTCTCTCTGTATTTTGTATTAAAAATTACCCCCTCACCATTCCCACACATGAACAATTCCTTCCTTACCTTTGCACATTTTTCTTGATTTTGTGAACACACCGATATGGTTGCCACAAACACGACACCCAATTGAATGTCTGCCCGACTGATAAGCCCTCAACCACACATTCACAACGATGTACAATGCCCATTGCATTTTTTTTCCAATCGTAATTATTGCATTTTGGTTTGATGGGTCTTTTTCACATACTCAATCGTGTTTATTTCTGTACCAATACTTATGTCGTTTTGCAGATGGACGCTTTTATGATGCTTCTTTGTTCTTACGGGTCCACGAATGTCGCATATAGTCTGCAATCGTAGAACACATTTGCTGAGTTTGTCGATTATGTTTGTTCAAAGTTCCCCGACCTCTTGCCAGGAAATATTCTGCTGTTCTACAAGATCCCCGGCTATAACAATTTCTCTTTGCAGAATGATGTGGACATGCAGAATATGATTTGCCTTGCACGTTCGTTCCACTTGCAGTTAGTTGACGTGGTCATCGAACAACATCCTCGCAGGGATAACAACACTCCTGCCATTAACCCAATGGCAAGCCACGCCCAAGCCAGAACAGGGGGTACATTACTAAATGATTTGGGAATGGACGATGAAGGCGACCTGCTGCAATCATTTTGTCCGCACAAGGAGAAAGTCTTCCTTTCCGCTCCATGGACAAATGGCTTTACTCACATCGGACAGCGCTTCGAAGGTGGGGCTTCCGAATTTCGCCATGTCTTATGGAAATATGCTGTCGAATGTGGGTTCCATATCAAATTTCTTAAGAACGACTCCGTTCGGGTAACGGCTATATGTGCTATGAACGAATCAAAGTCTTGTACGTGGGCTGTACACGGACGTAAATTAGAGGCAAACGGATTTTTCTACTTACGAAAATAGAACAGTGAACACATTTGTGGCGTCGCTCTGCGTACATCCACACACCCACTTGTTGGTTCTGATCTTGTGGCGGACATTGTATATGAACGTGTACGGGACAGGCCACTCACCCGTCCTACCGAAGTGATATTAGACTTGAAACAAGATTACGCCCTCGATATCACTTACCGTGTGGCGTGGCTTGGTGTAGAAAAAACGAGGGGAGAACTGTTCTGTGCACACTCCATTTCGTTCGACCAGTTACGTTGGTATAGCAATGCAGTTTTGAAACACAACCCCGGGACCTACATCAACATCGAATACGATGACCACACCCAACGGTTCACACGCTACTTCATTTCATTCAAAGCATGTATCGATTGGTTCAACCATTGTCGTCCCCTGTTTTTCCTAGACACCACGTTCCTCAAAGGGTGCTTCAAAGGTTTTCTACTTGCCGCCACTGCGAAAGACGAAAACCAAGGTCAGTTCGTTCAACTTATAGAATTACATTACACCATTGACATCACAACCAAACATACCACGTTCATAAAATTTTTTTACGGCAATGACCCAACCTGCCTATGTTTATGTCACAACCCTTGAATACAGTACATAAGTAGTTCTACAACATTTTACAAATTCTCAAGTTTGTTCCCCTTATCCTATGCGGTGGTGGACTCCGAAAACACCGCAAATTGGTCTTGGTTTGTTCAGCATCTCTCGTAGGTGGTGCATGGGGACAGACCTTTAACCTTTGTATCGAATCGAAACCTCAGATTGCTTGAAGCGATGCCAACCGTATTCCCGAATGCAGAACATGCATTCTGTCTACAATATTTGCAGAGGAACTTGAGGGACAGGTTGCGTTACACAAACAGTATGCATCGGGCAGGTTTGGTTAGCAAATTACGACATTGCGTGTACGCACCAACTGTTACCGCTTTTAACCAAAAAGTTGAACAATTCCATAAATCGGGCAGATCTGTGGCATCCGAATTCCTAGTAAATGCACATCCATAACATTGGGCAAATGCATTTTTCAGGTACGTCTCACATGTTTCTCAAAAAATGCATATGTACAACACATATTGTCATAATGTTCATATTAATTAGCGGACATGTCGTACTCATTCCACAGGGGGCGGCGTTACGGTGAGATGTGCTCAAATGCTGCAGAATCATTCAACTCATGGGTCCGGGAAGCGCGCAACCTCCCAATCACAAGAATGGTTGACAGCATCCGGACTAAATTGATGCGACAAATGGCGAAACATAGAGACGCTTCCCAAACGTGGACCGGCACCATATGTCCCAAAATGGAGTCCCGTCTTGAAAAAGCATTCAATGAAGGTAGATCATGGAAAGTGAGCCAATCAAACGCTGATGTATACGAAGTGCACTCTTTCTCATCGGTCACTGTTGACATCGGACACCGCACTTGCTCATGTTTCAAGTGGCAACTCAATGGGTTTCCTTGCCCACATGCAATGGTTGCTGTCCGTAAAAGTGGTCGGGATTTGAACACATTGGTCGAACCATTCTTCTACGTCTTCAAATATCGTTCAACTTATGCAGCAAGCATTTTCCCAATTCCCACCGTTGAGCAACCGTCTTTCAACCCAAATGATTACATCACCAAGCCCCCCATCATGAAACGTCCACCTGGTCGACCAAAAAAGAAGAGGATACTGTCAAAGGGGGAACATGTTCAGCAAATCAGATGCGGCAGATATGGGCGCATGGGGAATCATAACAGGAAGACATGCAACGAACTCATTTAACCACGTCACACAACCCACCCATTACAGGACTAAAATAATAGCAACTTTGTTGCTTGCCCTGTGTGATACACTACTTTATTATTACTTTTCAAGTTGTTTCATTGCTGGAAGAATTTTGTTTCAATTGTTTCTTTCACAATCATTGTGTGCGACACCACATGACTATGTCATAGCCAATTTACTATCATTGGAGCACTCAGTTATTAATAACAGCTTTCCTTCATTTAATTCGAATTTTTTTTTTTATCAACACCAACTTGGTAATTCCATCACACATTTTCACATCCGTGGTGGTTGGTATCGAGATAGGCAGGTTATACCATCCCCACCATTTCAATGTTATCATGTGAATTCTGCAGTACAGTATTTACAACTACAAAAGAACCATTTAATTATGTTGTGAATTCATACGGCCTTACACACATTCAACATACGTGGTTGGTATCAAAACAGGCATGGTAAACCATCCCCAGTATGCAAACGTTGTTGCGTGGATATAACACTACATCCTTTTCAAATCATTAACATATTCGCACCATACTCCAAAACAATACACTTCCTAGAATGCCAGCAATACGAACAGAACATCAACTTGTAAATGAGATTTCAATACTGGTATAACTACACATTCACATTACGACGTCCCCTTCAGAAAGAAACAACAACTTAACGCACACAAACCCCCTTCCGACCAACATTTGCACCCCACTACACATATTAAACTTGGTACAACTCAAACAAAAACAAATTAACAACAACTTGTGATTAAAGTGTAAATCCCATTTGAACAACACATTCATATCACCATATGAGTCCAGAAAACCCAACCACATCCACGTAAGCCAAAGCTCGCACACCCGCACCAATTACCAAATGCAAACGCAAACAAAATATAACCAGGACATAAACGATTAACACTTGGTACAAAAACTGTCAACAAAAAATAACTATATCAAACGTGCTACTTGAGCACTATAACTCAAACTGGTGTCAAACGAAGTAACGTAATAGTTCTTCTTTGATTATAATAGAAGCATAATCTAATAAAAGCATAATCAATATTTTCCCGATTACGCATATCCCAAAATATCCAAGACAACCAACACCAATCACCAAATGCCAACGCAAAAACATATAAGCAAGACATAAACTATAAACAGTTGGTACTGTAATTGCCAACAAAAAAAAAAACTATTTGCAACATGCTAACTAGGCACTACTATTCGAAGTACTTGTCGTACGAAGTAACGTAATATTAACTGAACTTTCATCACCCCACCAGTCGGCCCATGTTGCTCATCACCCTACGTACAGGATCTCCTATGAATTTTTTGACCATGTTCGCACGTAACACACTATAGTTGCCTCCTTCCAAAGAACGCCCCACGTCAACGTGATTCACGTACTGTCTTATTATTGCACAAACAATGATTACACAATCCATGTTGTAATAACACACATTAAAAACGGGCTGTCATTAACACACACCTCAAAATCTTGTGCACCAAAAAAGTTGATCGAGAAACGAAAAATACAATGCACTTACGTTTCCGCCCCGTTGCTGTGGGCATTCAGAAACTGATTCCACCATTATATCAAAATCCTGCATACCAACCAGCTGATCCAAGCCATTTGCCGCCATCGCTTGCCGTTGAATGTCTGTTACAATGTTTTTCTAGGCAATCACGTCGAACCCAATGAGAATAAATAACATGTAATTCCATTACAATTACAAAATGAAAAACTTTAACATGATTGAAATCAACTCACTAGTTTTACGGCCTCCCCGTAGTGCACACCACCGGTACCGGACCTACTCTGCATCGAATTGTAGTGCTTCCAGCTTCCGTCCTCGGTATCATAAACCACTAATGTCTAATGACCAAGGTGGCAAAGGGGAAAATGCATGTAACGTGCACCCTTACCAGCATGTACATTGCTCGTTACATAATTGAATCTTGCCTCCACATTGTCCCCTTTCATCACGTCCTGCACACATCAAACCCACACAAAACAAATTACAAAATCAATCCAAACCATTACATGCATAATGCCACACAATCGACACCCAACAAAACCATACCCAGCATATGCTGCTGAAAAAATAAGAGTTCTCCGGAAAATCTTTCCCCACATTCAACCTTTCTTGCTTATCCGACAGCACCTCTGCAAATGCGTCAATAACCTGTCACAAACAGTGCCACAAACCAAATAAGAACAATATTAACACATTCACACAAATTTACAACACAGATATTTCGGTAAACAAATTGGACCCATAATACTATTGGTAACACTTACATTCCCCCTCACACCTGATTACCTCACCAGTGATCTAACATCCGAGAAGTACACTGCATTACCATCAACTCGACCAATCCACAATACGGCCCTACACACGTGATAACAGATAACATTACAATTACGATTACCACAAGAATAATGTGTACTACAGTACCAAAAACTACCACTGTAATGAGTATTCCACACAGTCAACATGATACCCACAAACACACACGGTACTCACCTATCACCGTATCTATCATACGCAGTGCTTATCACATTTTTCTCCCTCTCAGTCATCATCTTCCACACTGTGTTACGGTTCGTGATTCCAAAACCTGTAAATATTTTCTTTGCATCACCAACATTCAATCACACCTTCGCGTTGCAACACATCGACACTACATCCAACCCCCTCGGACTTGGAAACGCTCACTTCATTGTTCACTATCCGTCCCCTACGCCTCAACCCTGGGTATTCAAACCCTGATAACTTCAAATTTTTCCTCACTTTACCTTTGACCTTATGTATGAAATAGTTCATACCATCCATAGCACTGCCACCTTCCGCCAATAAAGGACTCACAACAACAACGTCACTATTATCTGCTTGAATGGCACCGTCCATTTCGATGTTGTCAACCATGGAGGCAGATGCGACAAGAGAGGCGTCCACCATGATACCACCTTCAACAGTCGGGCAGTGATCCTGTCCATCTTCAACACCAACCACATTCCCGACCACAAATTCGTCAGCATGAGTGTTCGTGACATTCACACTAGAGAAACGTTGCGTCACCCTATGCACTGCTTGCTCAACAACTTCCTCCTCAAGGGCTGTAAGACTCTTCACACTGGAGAAACGTTGCGTCACACTATGAACTGCTTGCTTAGCAACTTGCTCATTAAGGGCTGCAAGACTGCGTCGTATCTCGGCATTCTCAGCTACAAGTTTCTTGCATTCTTCATCTTTCACCCTAAAAATGCTCTCGAAACCTTCCACAAGATTAACTGATTGAATTTCATCCTTCTATTTCAATCTATCAACTTCTTCCTTCAACTCCATTATAATTTTGCTGTCCCCTCCGTCCCAAGTTCTAAAATCAGGACTACCAGGACCAACATGTTCGCACATATCCTGCCCGATCGAACTACTATACGATGGTAAAAATTTACCATCTCCCCTATCTAACTCCTCACTGAATACACCGCCATGTTCTCGACTTTGCATAACATACGCTGCAGTCCACGGTTCATTTTGTATGCTCCCATCACACTGCTTCCCATAGTTCTTGTCCTTCACTTTAACTCTTGCAAACCCACTCACAGTAACTCCTGTCATTTTAACAGCCTCGTCTTCAACCAAACCCACATTACCATCCCCTAACACACCATTCCCTTCTAACATTGAAACTTCGTGCGCCTGCACGACCAACTCGTCCGTGATCACCTAGCCAAAACAACATCATTTACAACCCAACATTAGCGCAACCACACATAACAATAACATCATAAACACAACAATGGATGACCTAAAAAAAACCACAATATATCACAAAATATTACCTCAAACTTATTTGGATCGGACAGTTTCAAACCTTGCGAAGTAGATATCACTTCACCAACGTCCCATCTCAGGAATCTGGGAAACCTGTGACCATATTTGGCTTTCACAATATTCGTGTGTTCACACAACCAAAACTGCACCACAAACAACCAAAAAACAAAAAATTCATATAACAGCCACCCAGAGTCTTACCAAAAAACATAAATTCAGGTTACCAAAAAACCCAACTACAAACAAAAAAAAATATTACATTTACCGTTAAAGCAATTACGCATCCGGTAACTTTCTCCGGTGTCCGATAGAAGTCCCTCACTGAACACATAAGCATGTTACGTACAGCTGCACTTCAATCACATAATCTCATGGCGTCAAAGTTGTCCACATACGGTATCAACGTCCAACTAATGGTCTCTCCGGACGTTGCAAAAAAAAGCTTCCCACACACATACAAACAAAGAAACTTTGTCGTGTCCTCATGATCACACGGCGTGTCCCTTAGCAATGCTTCTGTCAGCAAATCCCTTACAAGTTTTGCCGTAATCCTGCTTGTTCCGGGGCACCTACGCTGGACAAAATCAGATGCAGGTTTCGGTCGTGGTGTCAAATCAAGGAATGCATTGCCACCTTGCAACCCAAACAACAGCTTCACATCCTCATCCGTGAAGTCAACTCCACGCCCACCAAGAACAAACTTGTCTTCCCGTACGCTGTATGACTTTATGATACGTACAATCAGATTGTCGCCCTTTCGGAACCCCGTGTGATCAAGCTGATTGATTAATATAGCTTCAATCATAATCCAAAATGGTGTCTTCCTCAAGTGTGCCAGGTGCACTTCCCTCAAGTTTACCGCGTACACCATTTTAATGATCCCCGCAACGTTAGCCCGGAAATTGAGCCGTGGTTTCACAGACTTCCTAGCAACACCAGACCGGCTCACAATATTAGGCTGCTTGAACAGGACTCGACCAGGCATGTTCACCCTAACTTTTCTTTTCGATGACAAGCCCAATGCCTCTTGCCTTTTACCCTCACATGACCATGTCCACCGACTTCCCCCCGAATTAACCCCTGTAGTTCCACAACTCAAATAATCAACACATACAAATTCACCACAACCTGCCAAATTTCTTATTTTCAAAGCAACAAATATTACCCAACCCACTCACAATACTAACATAACCAAAAACAGTCTAATTACAGAAAATAAATAATTCAACGACGACGACAACTTCACAACAAAACAATATGAAAAATCATCACGTAATTGTACAACATTAATTACAAAACCAAAATGAGAATGTTCAAACCACTTTCACATAACGCCCACGTATACCACACACTTTAAAAAAAATGTGGACCAAAAAAATCACTTACAAAGCCACATACCGAATTACATTTTACACTAGCATACATATGCCACATCCCCACCCCTTCCCCCAACCAAAATCGTTTGGCCATCCCCACAAACAGGTACATGCGGTCCCCCCACACAATGCCCTATTCCCTCAACATTAAAACACCCCACACCCGAATTAATCCTTTTCACAATCTTCTTCACCCACATGACCCACAACACGAACGTGTACGAAACCACCAAGCCCAGATTCAGGAATTCATACCCCAATCACAAACACCGGACATCCCACACCAGAATGGACCTACACGTACATGATTACCTACGTTCTAAAACCAAACAAAACTTTTTGCAAACAACACAATACACAAAACATTCAGAAACAAGCCCTGAAGTAACAAATTACATTGACATGCATACATCCATATCATATTTCATTGTGCGGAACAACAAATACCACGATCCGCAAATAACAAAACCCTAACCACGTAATAATAGTGTGATAAAAGTCAAATAATAACCCAATCCCTTACCAACTTACCTGTATCAGACATTTGAATAATATTTTTGTATCCATCGCCAATGAAACTTCACTCTAATCTGGAGTCTTCACAGAGCGACAACCTCTTCCCACGAAATATATTAGGGTTCTTGGCCACCACGAATAAACGATTTTCAACCCTACAGCTTGTCTTACGCTCAAAATAAATTCGTCAAATATTTCCTAAATCTGTGTCGTGGGTTCCACAATCACCGAATTTCAAAATTCAAATCACAAAAGGGGATAGCCATAACAAATTCTGGAATTCACGTCGCCACACAGAACGAATCATATTCCCCACAAATGCATCAACCAAAAAAATTTAGGAACTTTTCAATAGGTCGGGTTAAACAGGATCCACCAACCAACCAGAACGGGTAGGCGTGATATATCATGTGACTGGACGACTCCCTCACATCACACGCAACACACGCACCTCACGAGCCGCACCAAGCTGACTGCAAAACACACCATCTAAGAAAGTACTACTACTTTTTTCATTGGGACGTGAAACACAAACACACCCCATTCCCACACACACGCGCGCGCAAAACCCAACCCTCAATTAATGACTCAATGGCAAATTGGTAAACAAACACCCAACAGGACTAAACGGTTTACAAAAAAACAATTAGGACCATATGATCTACAAGATGGGAAAATGGGATTTACTGGTCAATTCCCCTAAATTTTATAAGAAAAAAGAAAAGAAATTATTTTATGTTATATTATTAAAATAATTTTTTTATATTTGGGTAAATTTCACTTTACCCTCTATGATTTAAGTCATGTGCGGATTATTCCATGCCTTCGAATATTACCACATAACCCTCTGTAGTTGATGGAGTAATGTGTACAGTTAGCTTTTCTATCTATTCTAACCGGTTGTGTAGTACATGGAAGTGTGGTGCAATTGGACATGAACTGATGATGTTCTTTCACAATTACAAGACCAAAATGCCCCCATATCTCACACCCGTTAACAACATCATTCTCTCTCTAGACTAGAGAGAGAGAGAGGCAAACAAACTCCGGTGAGGCAACCAACACCTTCACCGTAGAACACGATCAAATGGCTATCGCCGAAACTCGCTATTCAGTGAGAACCCATTGACAATACACGTTAGAATCCATGAACGACAACTGTAGAACAGAAAACCCACACGTTATCTACATGTCGCCACCCGTAGCTCACGAGATCATCGAACTCACTACAACACTCACACTCACTATAACAACGACGCTGGAGATAAACGCAACATCGTCGGGATACTTATGAACAGACCACAAACCAGAGACCAACATCGCCAATGATAAACCAGTCACTACGCCATTACCTGAGAATTTCAAGAACAGGTCGTACCACCGGCGACATCCCGACCGCCAATGTCACAACCCAGAACAAACGAGCACTCCTGGAAACAACCCATAGCACCTGGAACGCTGATATGCATACATACATACATATATATACATATATACACACATATATATTTTCTTTATTCTTCCTTCTAACCTATATATAATTTGTATATATATATATTCCTGGAAGCACAGATTTGTTGGGCCATTGTATTAGCTTGAAACTCAGTGTAATTGAATAATTCTGGATTAGCAGAGTGCAAACTCAGCTTGAAACCCTAATTTGTTCAACTCCACTCTCCTCTTCTCAGATGCACGACTATTGGAAGTGAAAATGGTAAGCAAGGTTAGATATATATATATATATATATACAAGGGCAAATTGGTCTTTTTACGTTTGCTATTAACGGTGTTAACTATGTACATTACTCTATTAACCACAGGAAGGTTATGTGGTGATATTGGAACGTCAGGAAGGTAATCTGCAAATGGCCAAAACCATAGGGGGTAAAGTGAAGTCTGCCCTTTATATTTTGTCAATCATTTTGTTTCTTTTATTTTTTTAGGGATAAAATTGGTATTATGAAAATATAAGAATCTGTTGATTTTTTTTCTCTCTCAATCTCTTCACTTTTGAGAAGATTGAAAATGAAGATTATAAGAAAAATGAGTTGCCCACTGTTTCTCTCTATTTCTCTTCATTTCTCTCCACTTAAATTATCCAAATAAGTAAGAGAAATACGTATTTTTCAATTTATTTTATTTTCTCTCCAAATCACTCAATCCGAACATAGTGTTAATATTTTTGTGTTTTTTTTTAAATATTTATCTCAAAATTTAAAATTAAACAAAAAATAATATATTGACAAAGTCAGGTGATATATAAATATTTTATAATATATAATTAAATTTTAATATAATAGACTTTTTTATATCATATGATAGTTGACATGATATTTTATATCTAATTTTGAATAAAAATTATTTTTGAGAGCATGTTTGAAAAAAATTTGAAATAAATGGGTCAAGTTTGGTAGTTGGTACTCGATGGCCTGTCTCAGCTTTTAGGAAAGACAAATCGTTTCCTCTACCATCCATCCAGCAAAGATGAGTGAGATCTGACCAAACAGAAAAAAATGGTTTGGGAAGAACGTTTTTAATATGATTGTTTAATTTTAATTTTTAAATTTTTTATTAATTTAGCCCAGCTAAATTAGTTTAGTGTACAAAGAAATTTTTTAGTTTTTTATTTTTTTATGAGAAAAAAATAAAATAATTATGATTTGAATATAATAATTTGTCTTATTAATTTACTTTATTTTTTAATATTTTTTTAGTCACAGTCCACTTACCAAACGACAAGGTAGGCAGCCAAATTTCGTGTGAATTTTTTTTTGAACGTTTTAATTAATTATTATTCCTCGAAATTGAATGTAATTCTCTATTTCAAAATAAATAAAATTTGAATGTAGGTGAGTATCAAGATTTTGATTTAAAGGAGCCAGTTGTTTAAATATTCATATTTGCATATTATTCTGTTTTTATTGGGTCTATTTGTTTTCGGCAGTGCTACATGTACTAATTAGTGTAAATATTAATGTACCAACTAGTGTTATGATATTATTATTGACCATATTTATTATACAAGTTACAAATATCCAAAATCATGTCACATCATCTATTAATACACTAGTGTGCATATTAATTAGTACATATAATAATATTTCATTTGTTTTTGAAACACTACTAGAATGAATACATTTTAATATCACATAAATTTATGTGTTAAAAACAAAAAATTTAGGGATACTTACGTGTAGGTCTTAATAAGTGGACTTATTATCTAATAGGTCTTATGAGAAAAATTTGTCATAAAAAACATCACTAATTGTAAGTATTAGCGACAATTTATAAAAATCATGACAAAAAAAAGTCACTAATTGTCAATTTTTAGTGACATATATAAAAAATTATCACAAAAAAATTATTTTTAACAACAATTTTATGAAGATTTATTTTCAATAAGACTTTATTGGAATTAAGTCCAACTATTAGGATCTATTGATAATTTACCCAAAAATTTATATTCAAATATAATGGTTTGCTCCTTGACAAGTCTAACTAGTCCCTTTCTCTTCATTTGACCCACCTTGTAACAATTCATATTTCACATGGTAATTGGAAACTTTTTTATTTTATTTTATTTTTTTATTTTTTTCCCTTATGCTATTGCTTATAAATAGAGTTATTTTAAACTTAGTTTTGTTGATTTTTTAAAAAAAATTTATTCAAAATAATTTATTTTTGAAGGCCATTTAGATTAGAATTTTAAAAATTAAAAAACTCAGTGAAAACAGAAAAACAAATCAACCATTATAGGCTTAATGGATAAAATTTTGTTTAATTTTATTTTTTTAGTGAATTAATTTGAATTTTTTTAAAATTTCAAAGTCATCTAGACAAACATCAACAGTAAATTTTTCCATAATAAAGATGAAAAAAATAAACTGAAAATAAGCTATAGCTTATAATTTGGTGTGCCAAAGAAATACTTAGGCCTAATTTGGGATGTCCTGAAAAAGTAAAAAAATCACTATCCTATTTAAGTCACATTACCTTTCTACCACATCCCTTTAAACCCAACTCATATTTTATAAAAAGTCAAAAAATATATTTATTTAGAATATTCCAAACAATATCCTTGAGCATGTTTCTTTTTTGAAATACTTGGACATATACATCAGCATGTTTCTAACAATTCACATCATACCACGGGAAACTTCAAAGATAGAGAATTTTTCTACCACTTATCGATTTCAGTTTACAAAGCCAGAGATTATATAACAAGTCGCCCAAAACAAAAGGGAAAAAACTCACTCCATTCCATTAAACTCATAATTTCTTGCAGAACAGACAACAATTTCATTGCCTGCTGTGAGCCATTTTAACTTATACGATCCTGCTACACACGGGTAATGAAAATCACAAGCATTCATATACATACACATATATATACCCCTCACGACATGAGTACTTCTACGCTTGCAGTCTTCATCACCTGGCACACAGGGCAAACATTGATGAACCCTTCACAATCCTTGCAAAGACAAAAATGCCTACACGGCATTAACAAAACAGAAACCTGTTTACCCTTGCAAGCTCTGCAATTCAATTGCTGATTTGCAAAAACAAGATTGTCATGACGAAACTGGTTAGTGTAAGAGGCAGCGTCGTCAACCTCGCTGTCCCCGCAGCCTTCCCTGGCTTGGACAGCACCATGTGCAATGGCCTGTTGGAGATTGGTCTTGAGAGCATTGACAACGGACTCATTGTATTTTGCTCTGCAGTGCCACGCCTGGGCTTCTGTGGCAACCTGCTTTATTCTCTCTGCTAGTTCCTTGCTCTTGCGGTTCATGTTCTCTATTTCGAGTTCTTTATCTTGTAACTTTTTGAAAACTCCTTTCTCTATGGCGTTTAGGAAACGAGCTGTCTGTCTCTGCTTCAACTCTCTTATACCCTTCATTATGCTTGCTTCCTGTTCAACAAAGACACAGTGAGAAGTTGAAAAAATCTAACAAGTTACTTTGAATATCACAAGCGTTCACATTGATGACACGAAGTACTAGGACTAAGTTTTTTTATAAATAAAGTAATACAACTTTCAGAAACCAGAAACTTTCTTGTTGGATGGAAAATTTCACCGGTAGAGAAGTTGTTCATTCTTTACCAAACTTTCTGAAATAAGTGAAGAGAGCATGTGACCCAGATTTAAGTTTTGTTTATTTCGGCCAAAAATATTTTTTACAGAAAAAAATTCCCAATTTTTTTTTTCCCAGGGAAAAAAGTTTTTCTATGTTTGCACCTTTGAAATTAATGTACAAATGGTTGCATTAGTGGTGGTAGGGTGGTGGCTATGATGGCTTTCGTAGGTCTAGTAGTGGAGGTGATGGTGGCGGCGGTAGTTAGGTGGCATTAGCAAGACTAGTACAGAATGTGAAGCAAAGTCTCATATCGCCTAAGTAATAAAATACTGTGAGGTTTATAAGTGTGACGGCACCCTCACCTCAACAGCTACCTTTTGGAGTTGAGTTTTACCTAAGATTGTGTAACATGGTATCAGAGCTGGGTAGGGAGTGTGTCCTTAGCTTGCAAGCGGCATGTGTTGCCGAGTAAGCACGCTACACATGAGAGAGGGTGTGCTCTTGACTAGTTTTTTGGTGTTGAATTCTACTCAAGATCGTGTAACTTGAAAATGTTTTCCATCCTTTAAAAGTGAAAAACATTGTCCTTCCAAATAGGCCTGTTTTCGATTGACTTCCATTTTCTGTTGTACCAAATGCCAAAAAATATGGAAAAACTTGTTTTTTGCCCAAACAAACGGAATGTTAATGTGTAAACCATGTAGCACCAGGAAAAAAGATCCAAAATGCTGGTACAATCACCAAATTAATCTAAGCAATTTTAATAATAATTGTACTCCATCTTTTTTCTATCATAAACTGCCACAAACCAATCACATCTGTCTTTTTTCAATATTCATTTACAGACTCAAAATTTCTTCCAGTTCCTTGGGTGTAAAGTAAACCAGAACCCTAGTTTAACCGTGTCACAATAAATGATAACCTAGGTTGGAAATGACAAATGAGTCTAACTAGTAGCCACTTGATAGCAATTGTCATCAATCAACTTCTAGACAATTCAAAATGTATATTTTCACTGTTGAAAAGGTATGCACGCGTGACATACTACAATTTATTTCAAGACAAGAGTCTCTGAGTTAGAATAGAATGAGAGATCATTAAACAAGATTGTCGGTATATTTATAAAACCAGTTTACCTGAAGTCTGATATAATGATCAAATTCTTTTTCCTGCCTATCAATCTCAATTTTAAGACTGTTGCTGAGGGAAAAGCTACCAGGTAGGGCAGCTTTCATGCCTTCGCTAGCAGAAGTAATAGAAGAATTGCGTTCGTCTTCCTCGTATGAAAGTTTCAGACCAGTTGATACAGGATTTTGATTCAAAATTCTACTGGCATGGCCAGCTTCATCTTGACAGAAATTATTGTTTAAAGATATCTGAAGCTTTTGCTGACTAGAATTAGGTTCTGGTTTCCGAGCTCTTTTGATAGGTCGGTTTGTTGCTGTTGCCATGTAGTTTAAGGGATCAACACTACAACCAACTGGAACTGCAACATAATTTCAAAAAAGAAATAATTTTTATTACATAAAGAATAGGAGACCAACCAATAAAATTCATCTGGATTAAAAAAAAAATGCATAAATTATTAATTGAATAAGTTAACAAGGGGAGAAAAGGGCAAAGCAAAGGGCAAGAAGTGTAATACTAAAAGCATACAATGAATGCAGATTGAACAAAATTGGAATTTGGAAGGGGAAAAAAAAAAGAAGAGTACTGTATGAGTCATGTGTTCATTTGATCCTGACAATTACCTAAATGGGGTAGCATTCTTCATGGGTGACCTCTCAATAGACCATAAACAGGATGGATAAACAGGATCACCCATGAAGGTCACAAATAGAAATAAAAAAATAAACAAGATCACCCATGGAACAAAGTTTTTTCCTTTTTTTTTAGGGTACATTAGAGAGGAGGAGGTAATCAAACTAGTGACTTCCTAGTGAGGGGTACACAAACTCTGGTAATTCAAATTTAAACACAAAGAGAACAGTACTAAACGTACAAAAGATGAACAAGTCATTTGGAACACTCACAATCTCCAAATAACTGCAGCTGAGGCAATGCAGTAGCATCATATTGGGAGCGGTTTTCCTCCATGAAAACAGGAAGCACAGGATTGCTGTTATCACTCCCACCAAACATATTCCTGATAGCATAATATTTAACAAATTAATCATTACAAGAGACATAAGATCAACCAAGCAATTTCTTACTTAAAAACACTTAATTTCATGATTATAATAAAAAATAAATAAATTAAAAATATAGATATATGATCAACCTCAATGCTACAAGGATAAACCTTTAGGTATATATGCTACCAAACTAAATCTATAAAACATCAATTATATTTATATATTCCTATGATGAACTAAAACAAGCAAAGAAAATAACACAAAAAGTACATATATAATGGATAAGTATAGGAATCCAAGACAAACAACAACCTTCTATGGTTAATTCAACAAATTTTGTGATGATGATCACAATAGAGGATATGGACTCAACGTCGATGACCTTATAAAGAAAGGAGAGTATCACAAAATTCCTAATAATAGTATATTACTAACGTTAAACCAAGACCAGGAAAGGCAGCACGCTTGGAGCTATATTCACGGGGTATTCCTAAGGACGGAGCTGAGACCATAACTTCGTCGGAATTGAGTGAAGGCAAAGGTTGCAAACCACATATTCGTATTCCAACAAAATCAATATGGAAATATACAAACAAACAAAAATAAAAATAACAATTATACAGAAATTACATAAGGAAGCCAGATAGTTTTTCTTTAAACCAAACCATAACCAAATTCATCTTCAAAACTCAGAAATATTTTCTCCCAGAAAGTATCAATATCAATTCCAAGATCACCACACCACCACATGTTCACACACAGGCCTAGAGAAACAGATTATGAACAATCTCCTAATAAGCATCAGTACTATGGATATGTATATACAAAAAACTATAGAGAAATATACCAATTAAAAAAAAAGAAAAATAAAATAATTATTATTATACAGAAAGAAATAAAAAAGCCAGATAGAAATTCCCTAAACCAAACCATAAATAACCAAATTCATCTTCAAAACCCAGAAATATTTTCGCCCAAAAAAAAATTAGAAAACTAGTTGTGTTTGGTTAAGTTTTCAAATGGGTTTTGAGAGTTCAAAACCCAAAATTTGTTTGCTTTACAATTTTCTCAAAACTATTTTCAATCACTTTTTCTATTTCTCCCTCCTCTCACATTCTACGCATCAATCAACTATTTTTTTTCTCTCTCCCCTCTCATTCTCTCACATCCTACACATCAACCAATCACTTCACTTTTTCACCCATCTATTCAACTAAAAAAAAAAACTACAAATCATCTCAAAGTACAAAATTATTTTCAAAATATAGAACCAAACAAATTTTCAAATTGTGAAAACTCTTTTCAAAAACACTGTGTTTGGTTGTATTTTCAAACAATGATTCTACACCCATATTCCAATATGATGTTTGGAACGAATTTTCAAATTACATTTCCACAACTCTACAGAAAACTCTGTGGGGCGCATTTTTCAAAAATTTTTTTTTTCAAATTTGGCCTAACCGGTTGTCCCACCGGTAGTCCGGTCGGTTGACCACAATAGTGCAATTTTTATTTTTATTTTTTGTCAATTGACATATGTTAATTTTTATATATTCGAAAAAAATATTTTTCAAATTTTTTAAAATTTTTGATGTACTTTAATAAAATTTTGAGTTGTAAGTTTGGTTATGAGTTATAAATTTTTGTATCAAATATCATATATCACATAAAAAATTCCCCACTCAATTCAAAACTCTTTTACCAAACAAATTTTTCACACTCAAATCATAATTCCAAAACTCACAAACTCAAAATACAACCCATACTCTCAAATCATATTTAGAAAGCCCTCCCAAAGACAACCTTTTATCTTTCAAAACCAAACCTAACATATCTCTTCCAGGATCACCACATGCTCACACAGAGCTAGAAAAACAGATTATGAACAATCAATACTACGGATATATTCAAAATCAATAAGAAAATACACCAAATAAGAAGAAACAAAAAAACAATTATACAGAATATAGAAAGAACCCAGATAAATATTCCCTCAGCCAAATTCATCTTCAAAGCGCAGAAACATTTTCGCCCAAAAAAGACAGAAACCAGAGATACAAACCACGTCCAAGATCGCCACACCACCACATGTTCACACAGGGGGTGCTAGAGAAATATATATAATGATGAACACTCTCAATAATATCCTAATAATAAGAATCAATACTAGGAACATAAACAAATATACTCTGCATATACGAGCCTCACAGAATCAAATAAAAGGCGAGGAGAGATCGGAATGGGTACCTCAAAATGCTGAGAGAGAATCGGAGCGATTGAAGATGGGTTGTTTAGAGTGTGGCGATGATGAGAAGGAAAAATGAGATCTTGGGCACAACAATGGTAGTAGGAATAGTAGTTGTTGTTGTTGATGAGAAAGTTTTTGAGGATTCCATTTGTTGGGCTTGGAGTTGGAGGTGGATTTGGAGGAAGAGGAAGAGGAAGAATGGGTTTTGGGGAAGAAATCTTCTTCATTGCTGTTTTCTCTCTCCTCATTCTCTCTCTCTCTCTGTCTGGCATGGCAGCTTTCTTTTCGTTTTCCCACCACCAATAATTTCGTGTTTTTTTTTTATTTTATTGTTTTGGTTACTGGTGTGTCTTTGAATTTACTAAACTATCCTTTCTCGTTTTTTGGGTTTTTGTAGTTTTTTGAGGTGTGATTGGATTTTTTAATAGTTGGGAAATTTGAGAAGGAATTTAAAATAATAATGATAAATAAAAAGTGAATAAAATATATTTATAATTTATTTAATTAATTTTACATATATATATATATATATATATTTTAATTCCCTTTTTAAATCTCTCAATTAAATACAGTGTTAGGGTCTCAACTGGTAGTTTAGCTTATCATTGAATATGAAAATTCAACTTTTTTTTTTTTAAATTATAAAAACTTATTCACTCTTATTTATTTATTTGTAAATTCACAAATATTTTATTTCTCAAATACATCTAAAAAATAAATAAATAATTCATTAAAAACAAAAACATACGAATTGATTGAGAATTCAAAATTTGATTTTTTGAAAATTTCAAAACCCAACAGAGTGTTTGGAATTATGTGTGAATTATACTTTTGTAATTTAAAACTATTTAATGGGTATTTTTACTTAAGGTGGAATTCTATAATTTTACAAGAATTGTGTAATGAATGACTCTCATATCAAACTAGATTTTTTGTTTTCCGTTTTTCTTTTTCGAGAAAATATCACATCAGTGTAGTTTTAAAAAAATTAATATTACAAACTAGTGAAAAACTCAGAGTTTTTTTTTTTAATATTCTAAAACAAAAAATAATTTAAAAAATTGACCCACTTTTCAAACTATTTAGGAAACTAAACTGTTTTTTGAAATCACATTTTGAAAATACGATTTTAAAATTGAAATTATATTTTTAACATGCAATTTCATCTTGAAATTGAATGTTGAAAATGCAACTTCAAAAAGTGAAGTTCATGTCATCATAAATTACATTTTTAACGTGCGATTTTAAAGTAAAATTGCATGTTGAAAATGTAATTTCAATTTAAAATTATATTTTCAAAATGTAATTTTAAAAAGCAAGTTAATTTCCCGAATAGTTTGAAAAGTGAGTCAATCTTCTAAATTATTTTTTTTTAGAATATTTAAAAAAAAAACTCGAAAAACTCAATATGCCTTAATAATTAAAATTATAAATTTTTTCACCCCTTCCTTTTTTGAAAAAAGCAAATATGTGAGATCAGAAGGTGATTTTAGTGGATTAGGATCTTCTATTATGAATCTTTGTGTAATGATCTTTTAATAAGAATCCAACCATCTTATTGTGAAGTTGAAATGAAAACCATAGTTTTAAAATGTGTAATTGGTATTGTATTAATATTATTTGTTAATTTTAAACTTAAATTATTAGATTATGTCACTTGTTCTTATCATAAAAAGTAAGCAAGATAATTGCAAAAAACAGCATGCCAGATAATTCAAACCCAATTTTAGTTTGAGCACTGCCTTGATTATTGGAAGAATAAGAAGTAAGTATTAAATATAAAACTATATATTTTTTTGTATTTTAGTGAATTTTGTAATATTTTTCACAAATTACGTACTTTTTAAATGTATCTGAATTAAGTAGATATAAAGAGTTAAAAAATAATTAAAATATTAAAATAATTTACTAAGAATAAAAAATATATAAATTCAAAATTGAAAAATTATTTTAAAAATATTCAAAACCAAACCTATCAACTTTGGAGCATTTTGGCAACAATAGTAAAAAGCCAACTTTTTAGTTTTTTAATTTTTTTAGCCAAAACATCCAGTTTTTTAACCCAAAATAACTTAATTTTTTGTCCAAAAAATCAAAAAATCAACTTTTTACCAACTTTCAAAAACACCCCTTTATCAAGTAACAGGTCTTTGAATTAAACCAAACAGCAACCCATAACATAACACCATATGAAAGGGGGGAAGGGCATTTTGGTACAATCATACAAAGTTTGTTGTCGACCCCCTGTTTTTTTGCAGGAGATCGGTCCAAATGCGAATTACTACACGTTTTCCAAATTAAAACAGTACAAAATAAATTATAAAAGAAAAAATTATTTTAAAAAATTGTATAAAAATCTTAAATTTAAAATTTTTATTTATTGTTTGGGGAGTCATTTTTTTTTACTAAAATAGCAAAAAAAAATCAAATTAAGGAAAGATGGTTAAAAGTCATCTTCAACTTTTAAAAAATTAAAAATTCAACTTTTAATCATATCTCCAAAACAACCCTAAGTTATCACGTAATTCTCTCTATTTTTTTACATATTATTTTTATAAAAATTTGAATAATAAACTAAAATTATTTATTTTCTAAACCATTTTAGACATTTTATATATACTTATTATATTGAGTTTAATAAATAAAATACTTATTATTTTTTATTTATTTTATTTAACAAAAGTAGGTTTATGGTTTAGATTTAAAAGAATCAAAATTTAAGATTTAAATTGATAAAATTAAAAATTAATTTTGTTACAAAAATTAAACGTTGAAATTCTTTAAAATAATTTTAATAAATAAATAAAATTGTAGTTTGTTTTTATAATTTTTATAATTTTTTTTTAATATTATTTATGAATATTTGTGAGACGGATGGCTGGTCATCTCCTCGTGCTGCTGAACTTTTAAGTGTGCTGACTCGTCTTTATTTTTGCTTCTGCGTGTGGGGGTCACGGTGGATCCTACATTTGCTTTCTCACCAAGATTCTATAGAGTTTTTTAATTTTTATGACGATAATAAGCTTGTTTGGTTGTGTTTTTTCAAAAATGCTTTTCAGAAAATTTTACTTTCTTATTTTTCATTTTTTTTTGTTTTTACTGATTTTTTTAATATTTTAAGCAATTTTTTTTACTTTTTAGACATACCAAACATAAATATACCTAAAAGTAAAAAAATTGTGAAAAAAATCTTTTAAAAATTCACTAAATACCAAAAATACAAAAAAAAAAACGAAAATTCAATATATTTTTTTGTATTTTTATGTATTTATTAAAATTTTAAAATATTTTTTCACAATTTTTTTACTTTTTAGATACATTTAAGTAAGGTGAATCTAAAAAAGTAAAAAAATGTTTAAAATTTTAAAAATATTCACTAAAAGCAAAAAAATACGAAAACTAAAAAACTAAATTTTCAAAAAACTTAATTCAAAAAATTCAAACCAAACACACTGAATATCTTTATTTGATAATCTCGTTTACACTTTGCTATGATAAGAAAGATAAAAAGGTGATTTAGAAAGTTGGTTAAAAACTAACTTTTTAATATTTTTTTTGACTTTTTTATCCTTTTGTGTGTAAAAAAATATGAGAAGTGATGTGACCCAAAATGAGTTAAAAGTTAAAAGTTAAATTTTTTTTGGCTTTCCAACTGGCCTCAAAATATAAATAAAATAACCAAATAAGATTATTATTATCTTAAAACAATCAATAACGAAAATTATTATCTTAATATTTTAATAATGTGTCGTGTGTTTTATACATGATCTGATTTTCTATAAATTCTTAACATAATCTTAACAAAATGAATTAACTTGAGAGGGTTAATTGTTGAGTTTTAAAATTTAAAAGAATAAAATATAAATGAATTATAGTTTAAGGAGTTTATTATATAATTTATCCTATTTTTATTTGAGAAATTACATATGAGAGAAGTTCTTACAAATTAATTAAAAATTTTAGTTATTAATATACATATATAATTTTCATTGATTTGAATTTTTTTATTTAAAGTAGCCTGATGTGTAATTGTACCTTTTTATTTTTCCTGGGCATTTGTCGGAAACAACCAAAGAAACCGACGAAGGACCCGCAATTCGCGGACATTCACACGGACTAATAGTACCTGTTCAAGACAGAAGTATTGTCAAGCAATTCACACTAATCATGGTCCTGTTTGTTTGTCGAATTTGGAGTCCTCACCAAGAAAAATGATATATAAATTTATTTTTTAGATTTGATAATTTAGTGATAAGATAATTGATTGATAATTAAAAAATAAATGAGAAAAAAAATATTTTAATATTTTAATAGAGTGACACACTATTAAATCTAAAAAGTGAATCTAATTTTTTGACTTGAATAACAATACTATTTAGTCAAAATCCTCTTAGTTTAATATTTTGAAAAAAGGCTTCTCTTTTGTCTATATTGGATTTGAGAGAGCTATTGGGTCCTCGTGGACCCATCATGGAGGTCATATTGATGATTTGAACCAATATATAGAGTTCGTCGAATACTTTATTTCTATAAAAAAAAATTTCGTTAATCGGATATCAATAATCACTTTATCATAACCTCTATGCTAGGCCCACAAAGGCCCAACAGGCAACTAGAGAGAACCCAATCTATATCTGTGCGAAAATTACACAAATTAATTATATCTTGTGAAACACTTTTCTTCATTAAAATATAAGGTGAATGGACTATAATAACTGTGTAGGTATATATTCACATATAGTTGACATACACAAAAACTAGTCTTGCTCTTTTTTCTTTCTAAAACAATCCGAAAAATTCTTATTTGAAAATAAAATCATCTCGTTTTGGTACAGATTCAACGTTATTTTTCTTACACGTTGATTGTAACATCACAAATATCATTTTATACTTAATCATCGATCATCGACTAATCCCCGATGGCGATCAATTTGAACATCAATGTTGAAGATTTAGATCGGTAAAAGTCTTTTAATTTTTGGTTGTTAGGCTTCGTTTAGCAAGTGATTTTTTTAGCAAAAAAGTCAAAAAGTCACTAAAAAAATTAAAAAGCCAACAACTTATACCAAAAGATCAAAGATTCATTTTTCTCTCTATTTTTTTCACATCTTTTCGTAAAAACCAAAAAGTCATCTCAAACATATTAGTTTTTTTAACATTACATTTTAGCCAAAAAGTCAAAAAGTTACTAAAAAAGCATATTCTCAAACGAGTTAAATTCAAAGTTTTTTGTTTGTTTGTTTGTTTTGTTATGACCCGTTTGAATATTGAAATTGGGATCTCAAACAAAGATGA